AGGTCTAATCTGTGGAGAATTTGAAGAGCCACAAATATGTACAAATAAGAGAGGATGATTGAAAAACCCATACATGTAGCATACATGTAGCATACATGTAGCTAGCCCCATAAATGTGGCCTATTTACTGGACTGCCTCCGTAAACATAGGCCACACATCCACATGTACAAAAATCGTGTCGACTTTGCCAAATTTTGATTTTCGCATTTAGGCTTAGTTTGTAGGGTTTTTTTGCTTTAGAAGCATACTCACCCTCTTTATAGGCTAATCAGAAAGTGCTGCCTTTTTCAGATGTCTAATTTTTGTGAAATTTTATGTTGAAATTTTGATACGCAAACGTGTAAAAATGAATCTGGAAATTTCACAAAAAATATACATCTGAAAAAGGCAGCACTTTCTGATTAGCCTATAAAGAGGGTGAGTATGCTTCTAAAGCAAAAAAACCCTACAAACTAAGCCTAAATGCGAAAATCAAAATTTGGCAAAGTCGACACGATTTTTGTACATGTGGATGTGTGGCCTATGTTTACGGAGGCAGTCCAGTAAATAGGCCACATTTATGGGGCTAACATGTAGCATACTGTACATGTACATGTATCAGCGACCAGGGTGCCTTCTACATGTACGTACATGTACATTTAAGAGTCAACTGACCCATGTCCAAAAAGTCCAAAACTTTTATTAAAGGGAACAGGCGATACATTTTCTGAGTAAAACACTTAAGTGTAACTTTCCACTCCTCTTAAATGAATGAAAACTATTTGACATCCCCTTTATTAATTTGATTGAAATGTGCACTTCTTTAAAACATTTTTAAAATGTCCGTGCTGAGGGCGCTGTTTCCATGATGTCATTTAAGGAAGACACTGTTCATTTCAGGGATTTTCTGTTCAAATCGTGAACCCAAAATTTGCTCAACTGGAAAAACTTAAGTTTAGAAGTGCTAAAAGTTTGCTCACTGGCTTACTGCCATGTATCAACACAGCAACAAATCACCTTAATGCAAGATAAGAAAATTTCCATAAAAGTTTTATGGAAATTTTCATTCTCATTCTCATTCTCATGGGGATGGCCCAATGCAGATTAATGCTGTTTTATTAAAACAGCATTAATCTGCATTGGGCCATCCCCATGAGAATGAAATTTTTAAATTTGCATTCGAAAATTGTCCAGATGACATTTTTTTTTCATTACTCATTATTCATTATTTTAGTAAAAAATCAATCTCTTAGAGTCTTAACTGTCTTCTAAATCGTGGTATTGGTGGATGCTGCCCGCACAGCAGGTCTGACATGACAATGGACCACTATCGGATCCCACTCAATCGTTTAAACTTTCATGGACAAATTAAAGCACCATTAAAGATCATGTGTAGATGGCACCTTTTAACAGACATGGTGAGGGAAAATTTGCAAGTTTTGGGAAAAGTTTACATTTATTAAAAATCGTTAAAACTCCCGAAAAACACAACATTTTTTAATCATCCTTTTTCATCCACAAAAAGTCATCATATTAAAGCTGTACAAATTCTGCAACATCATAAATGATGTACGATGATCATGGCTCTATCATGTCTATAATATCTTTTTAAATGCTGTGCACAGTATAATGCAACTTGCAAGCCCTGATGTACAAAAATGATGTCAGTCTGTCAATGTCAATGTGGTGCCATAGCCTATTGCCAATGACTGGCCAATGACCATGATAACTGCACTCTGATCAGTAGTCCTCGAAACACCAAACCCAAGGACTAGTCGGAGTCCTCGGAGTCGGACATGTCGGATAAAGAACACACAAACATCTCGAAATCACGCTTAAAATGCTTAACCTCCAAAAATTCCCACGCACTTATAAAAACTGTAACGGTTCTACTTACGATCTCTCCATTATGACTCGCCATATTTAGTGAAAAAGTCTCCTTTGGGGACCGGCTTTTTTCTTCGATTCGTCGAAGTAGCACTAGCGGGCAGCCATTTTAGCCGACTGGATGGTGCCCGCCTTTCAAATATAGATTACAACGTTAAGTAGATTTGAGACCAGCGAAGTTATTATATGCGGCGAATGATGCATTTTATAATTAGGGTCAAATTCGGTGTATAAAAAATAAAAATGACGGATGGATTTGAGGAAATAATTATACATTTTTTTTCCAGAAAATGTTACATAAAATCAGCTTGTTTTTGAAGCCATGCGATTCAGGAATATTTACCGTGATTTGTAATAAAATTCAAATCGTTTCTTAGTTGGTCGATTTGTCTATTAATTATTATTGTCTAATTGATCCTCCATCTACATTGTATTTATTTCTTCCGCCATTAACCATGGAGAAATGCATCCTTTTGACTTTCAGTGTCAGGTTTTTTTTGGGGGGGGGGGGGATTGTAGGGCCGGGGTGGGGGTTGAGCTACTTTTAAAGTATGTCTTAATACGGAAATTGAAGCTCTTAAAATGTACCAAACACCAACCCAAGACTATGCATATGAGCGGTATGGGGTGGGCATGGAGTGGGGTGGGGGAACGGGGGGGGGGGGGGGGGGGGTTTCCTCTCCCCCTCCCCAAATATCAAATTGCCTCCAGTGCCCCAAAATGTGTGCATTCAAAATGTAACCCCTCTTATCTACATGCCTGGCATGTTTGCAGCGGATTGCCGACGCATGAAAACTTTTTATTTTTACTCGATATGGTTAATATTTATTAACTTTTTAGTCTGCACTAGAGTGCAAGGCCGGTTTAGGGGTGCACTTTTTTTCCTACTTGCTTATTTGTCCACAGAATTACCATTATTGTAGTTACTTGTTTATAACGTATATATATGTGTATACACTCTTTTTTTGTCATGTATTGTTTGTGTACCTGCGAAATAATAAATGATTATGAAATGAAATGAAATCTCCTTTGAGGCAGAAATGCAACTCCCGATCTGCGCCACATCAAAATGTAGAGGGCGCCATTTATCATTAACGGTGTGCAATTAATTTTTGGCATAATTTAGTTAAGTTTGCCAGGCAACATAACGCGAGAAGATATCGGGTATGAAAAAGCAAGAAATACACTGGTCAGAAAGTGGATCTGAGTCTATTTGTGAGTAATGTTACATTGTTGTTTCAATCATGCTGTGATGACGGGAGAGATCAGAGGTTGTCACATATAAGATTGAGCAAATTTAAGGTTCCCAGTCGCACTAAAAAATCCAAGACCAGTGGTGCGTACATGTACATGTACATGTAGCCCCACTTGTCATGCTTGTGTGGCCTAGTAAATGCTGCGCTTATAGGCCACACGTCTGGTTCAGTTTAACTGAGGAGTTAGTCTGAAACTGGCGCATATGGACTGCAGAAAGATGTCTTAATTTCTCCAAAAAATTGAAGAAAGATTACCTTATCTACTCGGAGGTCAAAAGATGAGAAATCATAGAATACAACCATACAGTGGTATTTCTAGAATTAGAAGGCTTCTCTCCGGCTGACGCAGAGAAGCCTTCTAATTCTAGAAGTAATACAGTGGTATGTAAAAATAAAAATGCCAAAAAAAGGTGCGCCAGACTGTTTGGACTAAACTGCTCAGTAGGTTGGAAAACCAGACGTGTACTGTGGCCTAGTTACTGAGGAATAATTATCAAGTATAGCCTTGAATTCTAGAAGTACTGCCATTAGCAGACTACTTCTAGAATTTGAAGGCTCTGTGAGCCTTCACAGACACGACAGAGCCTTCTATTTCTAGAAGTGCTGCTACATGTATTAGGTACTCAACACACAGTGGTAATACGTGTACGTGCACTTTCCAAAATTATTCAAAATACTCACAACTCTCCAAGGTGTTCAACTTCAGGTGACATTTGAGATGCACATTAAAGTTGAAGCTTTAAGGCCTTTTTCATATTTCATTTTCCGTTCCATTTTTTTTGGGTATAACCAATGACTTTTGCTTTTGGGAGAAAATTCTTTCCAAAGTACAATGTAGCTTGAGTCATGTGAGTAACTCAAGCAACTCCAGCTCCAAATGCTCATTCGATAGAGCTGAAGCTGAGACTATGTTTGCAAGGGGCCCTAAAAAACGGGACTCTCTGTATATTGATGTACCCTAACGTGGTGCGGCCCCCAACGTGGCGCACTTTGATTTTTCGCCTGTAGCGCCTAGCTAGAGCAAAAGTTTTAACTGAAATTTCACAGAAAGTGAAATTTCATCAAGTTCTAAACACTCCCGTTTATAAATCGCGAGTTTATGTACCCGTTACAAAGTTAGAAGAAAAGTTTATTTTGGCGTGATTTTCCGATTTTATTTTCAAGTGCAAAGTGAACCCTTTGAAAATACCCCAAAAAAATAAGAACATAATTTTCTGACAAACATCTGGCTGGGTATGTAAGTAGAGATAATAATGCTTTATCAGAATTTATCAAGTTTACAGAAATTATGTATATTTTGGAATTTTCCGAGATTTATTTGAATATGTCGAATTCCTGATGAGCATTAGAGCTGGAGTTTGATGTAGGCCTACTCGAGCTAAATTAAGTCCAATGCTCATCTGGAATTCAACACTAGAGCTGGAGAGATTTATAAGCCCAAAATGTGTCTACATGTAATGAATCTTAACAGTGAAGAAAGTAAACATAATTAATATATTTATTGATAAAGTATTTTGCAGAAAACTGGAGGGGGGGGGGCAAACTGGGAGGAGGGGGCAAGGAACAAACGTGGGGGCGGGGAAGCAAATTCCCCCCATGCCCTCCATATGAAAGATATTTTTAAAATGGGGGAAAAATATGTGCCCTTGTAGGCCTATTATCCGCAGCTAGGCCCCCAGCTGGTTTTAAACGTACTGGTACATATATTTTTAATTAGGCCAAGCACATGTTTATTCTTTCATTTATAACGGAATGAAAAAAAAATACTTAAACTCTCTGCCATACATGTACATGTAGTCTAAAGTCCAAACCTCACTGATAGTTGAATTGACAAAGGTCACACTGACTGTTAAGTTGCCAAGTCACCATTTATTGCGTACAACTTCCTGCGTCTGTTCCTGTGTTGGTTTCTATGGGTTTGCCAACACCTACAAGCGTAGGCAAAACTTCCTGTTCAAACGTCGACAGATCAGAGTCAAAAATAGATTTTGAAGTAGTTAAAAGTCCAGCATTTCAGTGTGAACACTTCAGACTCTATCAGCTGTTGTAAGTCTTGGCAAGTACTTGTACTTTATACACACTATTAAAGTTTGCTGTTATTGCATTTTGTTGCACATTTTCAGAACATTTTGGCTGTTGTTGGAAAGACTTAAGTGAGTGCCTTTACGATGGATGGATTTTTAGTCAAGGATTCGTTGACCGTGCTGACACAAAACGGAGAGTGTCAAATCCAGCTGTGCCTCGGGGACATCACAAGGCTGAAACGCAAGGACAAAGTAGACGTCATTCTCATATCAGCGTTCCGAGGTAAACAAATTTGTCCCTAAAGTTTTGGTCTGTATTCGTTAAATGTTTTCTGGGAACAATCCGTCCACTGATGAGTCTTGTGAACAGGACTAGTTTTAAAGGACAAAATAGGACTCTTTTCCCTGTTTCTTCGCTCAAACTTCCTGCTGGACTAATTTCAAGTCCTTTAGTAGCATTAGTCTATTGTTTTTTTATCCATAATAACTGTCAGTTGGAGTGGTTTTTCATGCAACCAATGCGTGTAGTGTCAGTCAATCCATTCCACATCTGTATGAAACTTTGGCAATTGCCGGCAATGCTTTGTGAAACAAGGCAAGGAATAATAGGGCCTACATGTACAAGACAGAAATGAATCAATGCGGCGAGTGAAATTTCACTTTGCCCATTTGTATTTCTATTACTGTTGCCTTTGGTCATGTAAAATGCATTTATCAAGTCTTGAAAGTGTCTCGAGGACAGCCTAGATAATCTCTGGGTATGGGAGTGATATACACCGCGTCAGATGAGTTTAATGAACTTCTGAAATACATATTTTGATCAGTTGTTTTTCGGCAAATTAACTTCACGATAACAACATTTTACATTTTTTTCCACATAAGTCTTCGTTAAAGGTAACCCTATTTTACCCTTAATTTTGCCCCTATTCTCAGGGGACTACGCCCCTACCCCTACATCCGTCATCGGGGCGCTGTTGCGGAACCTCAAGATCCACGTCCGGGAATTGTCAAGAGACAAAGAGGAAGACTTGAGGAAACTCTACCACTGCTGGTGGTCCAAGCCGCTACCAGACGACAAACCCTACAACAGACTGATGTGCTTCGAAACAAATTTGTAAGGAGTTTTTTCTAATAGGACACAAAACGCATTAAAGAGGGCATTCATTTTCACTCCCAAGCCCTCCCCCCCCCCCTTCCCCACTCGCCCCCAAAAATTCTTTTATGGAGCGTAGTACAGAATTATTAACGACATTAGCAAGAACTTAATAAGACTAAATTTCATAATTTGAAATTTGCGTCGGGTGGTATATAAGACCAATACTGTACTAGGTTTTGCCATTCACCGACGAATAAACACTGTATACTCAGTGTGTTATCTCCAGAGGGAAAGTTGGAAAAAAATGACTCGGGTGGGACTCGAACCCACGAACTCCTGCATTCTAGTGCAGACGTCTTGCCACTCGACCACCGAGCTTGCGGGATCGGTTGGCTGATTCGAATCTGATGCACACGTAGCAGCGGGCACTATAATTATTCATAAGATAGAATTTTTGCACCGGTTGGTCGGTATAATGCAAATCAGTAAATGAATCTGGCTGTTATTTAGCCGTCGTCTTTAACCTTATAAAAAAAAAAGTATTGCAATTATGTACTTATATGTGACTTAAGATTGGCATTTCCAGAGTGGAGCAGTACTTCAAAAGAGATTTTGCATTACCACAAACCCCATGATACCAATTGAATAAAAGTTTGTAACAATGTTTTTGTTTTCCATCAGATTTGGGTCTCGGCGCCCTCAGGAGTTGGTGGGCGATGTTTTCCGTTGTCTGGTGCCCGTACTCAACAACCAAGATGGCACTGTTATTACACCTCTCCTCAATACAGGGGACCAGGTAAATATTGCAAACCCAACTCAAGAACAATTCCTGAAACCCATGTTGCTTTGTGGTGGGTTCCAATATATTCTTTTGTACACAAGTGCAAAATTGTAGCTGCAAATTTTGGGAGGATTCATTTATTTTGACGAAGAAGAACCAATCTGATCATCCTAATTTTCAAATCCTGAGGGAAGAGTTATTTGATATAAGTTTCATTTATAGAGAATACAAAAGTGTATATGTATATATAGTCTTTTCATTGAAGATTGAGCAAAAATGCAGCAGAAAAGATGACTTGTGTTTTTTTTTAACATGTTGCAGCTTACTTTATGGCATGTTACACATCTCAATTTGTGAATGCAACAATTTGAGGTTGTGTTTATCGGCCTAAGTTCACTAAACTGTTGAATGTGTATGTCTGTGGTATGTGCTTAATTGTCACTTCCTACATGTACATGTAGGCCAAGGTCAAAATGAACTGCGTATGATCTTTCAGAGGAAGCTCGTCACAAGTATTTAGCCCACATGTAGTTGAGTCGGTTTCCTACAAGGGGGAAATAGATGAAGGGCGACTTACGTCAACCGACGCAAATAAAACATTCTGTTCATTTGTATGCATGTTTTCATTAAATAGCCGTCTAGTAGTCTGTCTCATGAGCCACACATATTAAAGGAAATGGAACAGGGTACTAGACACAAAGCTCAGGATATCTGCATATCCCAACTAGCTGGTTTGTGATTCCCCTCCCCCCCCCCCAAAAAAAACCCCAAAACAAAAACTAATAATAAAAAAGTATTTTGTTTTGAAAAGAAACTTGGATTTTTTTCAAATCACTGGATTGAGTCTTTGGTATTGTATTTGAAGGCCTGTTGCTTAAAATAGAATCTTTTTCCCCAAATAGTCGCTGAAACTTGTAGGGTGTCATATCCCTGTGGTTGTGCACTCATACTCTTAGGCGTCTTGGTGTGGTCTCCCATCCAGGTACTAGCTGCAGTCAGCAATGCTTAACTTCAGTAATGTGCTACTTGCTCTACCCACTAAGCTAATTGTCTGGCACTGTGTTTTTGTGCAGGGTTTTGGCCGGGTGGTCATGCTTGAAGGCATGGTGGAAGCAGCCGTCAACTGGATGAAAGCCGGCCTGCCACTGCGCATGCTGAAGATAGTGCTGTACTGCCAAGGCAAGTTCAATGGACCAAATGTTGAGCGAATGAGGCTGTTTAAATATCACGTTTATTGAAGCACTTTTCAACGTAAATTTAACGGCACTTTGAAAACTTAAACATTGTTAAAGACGTTATTTTCGATTTAAAGCAACATGTAAACTTATTCAGTAATCTTTGATGTGTTTGTAGTACCCCAAAATGGTATTATTACAGTGCACGCAATTTTCAAGAAAAAAACCTTTTTCATTGTTTTCACATGAGATTTGGAAAGAATGTGCGTATATGAAGCACATTAACAAAGCATAGCAGCTTTGCGTAATCCTGAAAATAAAACAAGGAATTCAATTTTACATTAAGATTTGAGACCCAGAACAATACAATTGATAGTGATCGGTTGAGGTACCCTATGCTTTATCAGTGTCACACCAGTCGGTTGACATGGCAAGCTCGGTGGCCGAGCGGTAAGACATTTGCACTATTATTCAGGAGGTCATTTTTTGAGTCCCATCCGAATAAGCTCAGTGTGACATGTTCTTGCAAGCCCTCTGACAACACTGAATTACATCACTGATAGGCAGAACTCAATATTGAATTTACTCAGAAAAACAGTAAATAATACGGGAGAAATAACAAATCAATTCTTATATTTTTAGGCAAGGATGACGATGAGATGGAGAGAATTGCAACCAGAGACTTCCACAGGGTCTTGGAGAGTTTTGAGGAGCTGAAGGGACGCTACATGATGCAGGATTTGACTCCCAAGGTACAGCAGAGTACTGTGGCTTGTTCCGAGCAAACACACGAGCAAGACAGTGTGCCAATCACACCTGTCAACGTTAATTTATGATTCTCACCGTGACTTTCAGTGGCCAGTGCTGACTTTGCCATACTGTAGCAACTGCAGTCAGCCAGTATTTTGTACCTTGTAGTTTTGACATCATGATTGTCCACTGCGTTTTATCCAATCACACACTTTTGCTTCATTTAGAAATTACTTACCTCGGCAAGCTCGGTGGTCGAGTGGTAAGACGTCTGCACTAGTAAGCAGGAGACTCCCACCCAAGTGTCTTTTTTCTCACAATCTCTCGAGGCAACACAGGGTATACATTGTATAAAAAATACGTCGATGAGGGGCAACACCCAGTATTGAAATTGATTTGGCCTACAGCATTTAAAAATTATCCTAATGATATAATATTCATGTGATGTGTTCTTCACCAAATCAGTTTTATAAGATGTAAACGTTATCAAGAGAAAGGACTACATGTCAATATAAAAGAAATTAGATGAACAAAATATTAGGCGATCCGAAGAGTTTTAAGTATAGTTTTATTTGTATAGGAATTTAGTTAAAACAGTTTAAAGTTAAATATCTTTCTGAAGTTGAATATATTTTCTTGGGTAAATGAGGGAAATGTTTGTTGATAGACCTTATTCGTGGCAGCCATCTCAGAGGGAAATGTCTTTGTTTTGCTGGGACATGCACGCGTGAATCTCGTGTGTATTCATTGTTACTGAATTAAAATAACAAAAGTTGCCCGCCACGATTGGCCGCTACCCGTAAGGTCCATTGTCTTTAACTTTCAAATGAGTCGTTCATAGACTAATAATTTGAAACATCATCAATTTATTTTTTTACACAATGATGCCTGATCCTTGTATTTGATGTTTTAAAATTGCAAGTTTAGTTTTTTCAATAATAACTCTGCGATATGACATAACCATCTAAATTTTTGTTGATTCAGAAGCCATTACAGTTGTATGCTTAGGCATCTTTCTCAAGATACTGTCCAGTTTTATGAAGTATTATAAACATGTACATGTTCATTGAAATATGAAGCTGAGAACTGTTAATAAACTTTAAGTTTATAAAATATATATTTTAATAAACCATATATTTGACCTTGAACTTTGATCTTGAACTTTGACCTTAGACTTTATTCATTAAAGTAGTTGTCAGCATGGTGGAGTTGTTGCATGTAAACTTGTTGCCCTTCTTATTTTGATTCATAAAAAAAACATTCTTTTATATTTGTTTGGTTTGAAAAATGATTTCTACATCACATCGAAGCACATGCCAGATCAGTTTGCGAAGCATTGCTTTTTATTGGCTTTTCTCTGCACTTCTGGAAAAGCCATAGTTTTTGCGCGGATTAGTTTTTGTTTCTTTTTGTTTCCTTTATTTTTCCGTAGTATTGCTACATTATTTTTCAGTTTGTTTTGTTTGATATCTTTTGACCCCCAGGAAATCACGATAGATTTTGACGTCTACCTCTCCTTCAGCAAGCACGACGCAAAGGTCGTTGACCTCATAACAGACAAACTGCGCTCCAATAAGTCGGACGTTCGCATCTTCGACAGTCGCCAGGTGATGAACGCGGACTCGGTCTGGCAGCAAGACATGTATGAGGTCATGATGCACAGTGCTAGGGTTATCACAGGTGAGAAATAACAACCTCTGAAAGACTGCGCCTCGGAGCTCCGCTCCATGATGATGGGACAAATCTCACAGCTGTGGTTAATGTCGGACTGGTTTTCACGAAAGTGTGCGTGCATGGGCGAATGACCCACGCACCTGGATAACGCAGTGTGGCACTGAAGAGGTGCACGTGTTGTTGGGCCTCAAATGAATCTCTATTTTGCTTGAACAGGAGGTCTGGTCTTGGCCCAATTTAATGACACTGCTATTGATCAATCCGGACACACTCACTTCTATCAATCATGGAGGCCCCCTGCAATGGGGATAGTTTTGAGCTAGCTTTTGTTCAGATAATCCATTGCGGGACAGTAGCTTTACACAATAGCTGGCACGTTGCTTTCGCCGGAGTGTAACCGTTTGCCAGAGACTGCATGGAGCATATGCAAAAGGCGTGCTGCTTAGTTGCCACTGAGGAAACTTGTCCACAGAATCCATACAAAATGTGCTTGAAACGATCACGCTTCTAAATCTCAGAACTTTGATTTGTCCCCGCAGTTTTGACACCCAACTACCTCCAGTGTACAGCCTGCGTAGAGCAATACAACATTGCAATGTGCTGCTCCAGGAAGGCCATGCGGAACATGCTGGCACCGTTCTACATCGAGGAGAGTACCTTACCCACGTACATGACACAAGTGCAGTATGTAGATTGCAGGTAAAGGGAGCCAGACTAAATGTGCATGAAAGGTTGATTGACCTAATATAATAGGGTGATTATGACTTGAGCTTTTGTCATTTTCCTATTGTATGACTAACCATAGCCGTCTAAAAGAATACCTATTTTGGACATGGCTATACTACGGCATACATGTACATGTATGTACTCTTATTTAGAACACCCCATATGCAGGTCATTAGCAAAGCCTTGACTTCTGACTCATTGGTCCAAATTGTCCAATTGCTTCACAGATCCAGTGTCACCGAGCGTGTCGGGGAAGCCTGCCATCAGATCATCATCTCGTTGAGTGTCACCCTAAAAGCCAAACCCCAAATGGATCCCTCCATTCAGTACGACGTCTTTGTCTCCTATTCCCACGCTGACTCAGAGAGGGCCAACCACATCGTGGCAACGCTCAAACGCCTCAACCCAGACCTGCGACTTTTCTTTGACATACAGGAGCTAAAAACAGGTACAAAAGTCATTCAAAAATCTTTGACCTTATTTCAGTTTGATTCTAAAACTTCTTAACTAGAGCTGCGTCTTTCTTTTACATGCAGGAGTTGAAAACAGGTCTGAAAATTTGTTTGAGAAATTTTATTCTCTTTTTTGTAGGGAAAGTGACATTTCTTTAAAGGTATAGTCCATCATTTGTAATATGTGCATCATGTTTGTTTGAAGCAACAAAAGTGCTCAAAGTCTAAAGAAGGGTGCTGAACAACTGATGAAGTTTTAGCTCTGTGAGTGCTGTATATTCTGAGAAAACAATGTTCTAGGATCTCGATTTCAAATCAAAAGTTGCTGAATCATGTTTTGAATTGCACCCTAATTCAGCGTCTGGGACATGTTCTCATTCAGCCGATTGCATCTACGCGATGTCACGTATTGAACTGACGAGTTATAGCAACCAGTCGTGCGCATGTGCATCGTGTCAACGCTTGCACGGGCTTCGCCAATTTAAAAACAAACTACTAACAGAAATTTCCAAAAAGACGTCTTTAGAGGCATCATTGGAAATTGCCTTCTTTCAATGTTTTCTTCAAAATGACAGCTTGCCAGAGAGAATAAGTTCACAGGGAGTTTAGTCCCATTACTATCTTTAAACCAAGTATGCTTTTCAAAAATAATTTTGTCAGTCACTTTTTAGATAGCTGCAAATGATGGACTGTACCTTTAAATGTGCATTGTGAATGTTTCTGTAATATAAATAGGCTTACCTGGACGAAGTGCACCTAAAATTTGCAGTTTAGGACTTTTATTCTCAGTGACTCAGCCAGTCAGTCAGAGGAAAATGAAATTGCACTCCAGGTATAGCCCAAAAAAATTTATTTACAAGGCTTTAGATATTTGTGTGGTATGTGTCATACTTCACTAAAAGAAAGAATGGTAACGATTCCAGCACACAACTCCAGCATCACTGTATTCAGTACTCTTCTGTTTTGGTCCAATTCTTTATTTTGTCCGTCTTTAGGCAGTGCATGGCAGCGTACATTGTATCACTCCATCGACGGTACCAGAGTCATGTTGGCCCTCATCTCCAACAAGTACCTGGCCTCAGCTGTGTGTCAAGAAGAGTATAACCTGGCACTGGCTAAGCATTGCTCACAGGTAAGATTAGAATAGGCTTAAACGTTCCCTAGCATAACAACGTTACAGACACTTTCTTAAAAAGAGTGAATTAAATAACCTTTATTTCAATTATAAAGAGACACAGTTTTTGTGGAATATCGTAGATGTGTAGTCAGTGTTGACAGGGCGCTTGTGAGAAAGCTTCATCAGCTGATTTTGGGTGGGACTTGAAGCCAGAATCTTCTGATTACTAGTGCAGAAGTCTTTCAGATCAACCACTTAGATTGCTGGGGTTGGTTGGTTGGTTTGCATTGAGGAAATTTAAATTTTACAATCAATTCCATAAAAAGTGATCTACAAAAGACTACAAACTTTGCTGTATTTCCATCCAAATGTTGAATTCAATTTTAGCGGGAAGAAGACTGTTATGAGAAAAGAGGTCTTTTCTTATGATTTTCAAGAGCAGAATGCTAATTGGCAAAACTATTTTTTGTGTACGTCTTCGTTTAGTCTGGTTCACTGAAGCTTGTCCCCATGTGCATTGAAGACGTCTATGGGGTCACGGCAGAGTTCACCAAGGTCAAGATGGTGAATGCCAAAGGTGGGAACTTCCAGCAGGCAGTAGACACCACTTGCACGGCTGTCGTTGATTGGCTGGCTGGACAAGATGCGGCAGCCAATGGGAAAGAAGTATTTGGACAGGATGAGGTATGGATAAATTCATTTTAAGTTCAAATATAGTTTTCAAGATCCTACTAAAACATTTTTAATTTATTTTATTAATAATGAAATAATACAATCATGGCAGCTCATATGAAATGTTCATCACTGGAATTTGAAAAAAACTTTTTCACTTTTGATTAAAATGAAGAATATTTTCCCTACTATGAGATTTTTTTTTAAATCCATGCTTCTTACTAAAAGAGCCATCTTTCCACGTTTATTCAACAACCTTGCTCCGGTTATAGTCAACTTAACATAACCTATTGAAATCAAAGCTGTAAATTCAGTACGGAAGTTAATTTTTGGCTGGCAGCTTTTAAAAGAGAAAGTTTCATATTAAGTTATTGGTTACTTGTTTCGTTGTAGGATCTGGTAATAAACACTGATGCAGTCACCGAGAACTTGCGAAAACTTCAGTTTAAATATCAACATGGAGACAAAAGCTCACTGCTTCGAACGAAATCAACTTTCCCAACCGCTTTACCAAAGTCTTTGCCAACGCGCCCAAAATGGGACAAGGGCCAGGATGAAGCGAGCAAATGCGACGTGGCATTCAGCTACGCCGCGGAAGACGAGAAATACGCAGAGCACCTTGCCGCCGTGCTCTCGCGAGTCAAAGGCGTCGTGGTCAAAACCAAAGCCGCGTCGGACCACGAACGGCTTGCGTTGATGGACCAGGCGAAGCATGTTGTGGCGTTCCTGTCCCCGCACTATGTGGACTGCATGGAGAAGAGCGAAGAGTTCAACATCGCCCTCTCTCGCCAGCGTCTCAGCACCAGTCGTATCCTGTTCCCCGTCCAAGTTCACACGCTGCCTCAGCGGCCGACCTATTTCCACCTCGTCCCGTTCTGCGTCAACGCTGCGGACAATCTCTGGCCGGAGCTGTGCTCCGTATTGAAGGTAGACGTCAGCATGCACGTGCTGGAGAGAGCGGACAATAACATCTCCAAGCCGACCGAGTTGGCCCTCCATGAAGCAGCCTGCCAGATTCTCCTGGAAATACAACGACAAAGGTAGTTCACTTTTGGTCCATAAGGAAATATGATGATGGAAACGATTTCAGAAGTGCTTCAAAACTCAATACTATTTTGGAGCATGATGGTTAGTAAAGAGTTTTGGCTTGTGCACATGCATGCATCCTTAACTAAGGAATCAAAGTTTCTATGCAAGTGCTTTAAGCACAGAGTTGTTATCGTAAGCACAGAATCCTGTGGTAATAGGTCTCTCTCAAAGACGGCATCTCTGTAGGCAAACTGCAACTGCGTATTTTACGCAGTCAGGCACACATTGCACAGTGTTGAAAATGTTCCAAACACGCGCGCTTGTTGCTCGAAATGTGTTTGAAATACAATGCAGCCGATGCGCGTTATGCAAGTTGACGCTCAAAATGCTGTTGCATGTGGGTGGTCTTTAGGAAATGACGTCTTTTGCGAGAGACCTATTGAGAGAATCATGATTTTAAACTCTGGCGTTCCAGTGTGACAGTTAATGAGAAGAGCATGTGGTGTTCCAAACCTAATCGTTGGTTTCCTTTTTAACCAAAAGATTTGTGAAGTGTGTATATAATTTCATGTGATGCAAATGGTGATTTGGATTCTTGAACAGGACTATACCCAAGCCACCATCGGACGAAGTCAAAGCTTTGCCAACCCTCCTGAATGTGAAGAAGTTGCAGTCCCAAGTGGACCATGCTTTCACAACCGACACTGATGTAGTTGGAGAGGTGAGTTATTCCATTTAAAAATTTCCAAGAAGACGGGAAAAAGATTGACATCGTTTGAAGTCCAGAAATCTCGTCATGGGGAAATCTTTTGGGAGAGCTTTGTTAGATATTAATTAGAGCAGAAAAGGAGCTCATTTTAAAATTGTTTGATTATGTTTGTGGGATGTCTACAATTGGAATCATGCTTCAATACCGTTTTTAAAAAGCTGACCACAGTTTGAAAAATTGAACTTTTCAGATTAAGAATCGGTTAATCTTTCAGACTAGTGGCCATAGTTATATTCATTTATTTTATTCCATTTTGTTTCCAGTACTTACTCTCATTGTCACTTAATGAGGGAGACAGTACAGATATGAAGAAGAATGAATCGAAGAAGGACCCACCTCCAGAAGCTGCCACTGGCCAGTCAGAACCGGACCAGACCGGTTCAAAGCAGCCCGACACATGCATTGACGAACCTGCATTGACTGGATCCCAACCAGTCAGTACTGGTTCAAACCAGTCAGGTGATGTATCTGAGGAACCAGTTAGGACTGGTTCTGAGGAATGGGTCAGGACTGGTTCTGTGGAACCGGTTAGGACTAGTTCTGAGGAACCAGTTAGGACTGGTTCTAAACCTGCAGAGGTGCAAGCGGCATCCAGGCAACTAGAGCACATGCCGAAAAAGGAGAATGAGAACAACAGCAGGAATGAAAAGGAAGAGTGCAGCCATTCAAATATAGTCAGGATGGATGGAACACGGAAGAGGACGGGTAGTGCATCTTGCTCTGTAGTCTGATGCATAACCAGGAATTTGAAATTCTAACTTTTCCTATACCCAAGAATAGGGGTGTATCATCTAAGTCTGTGTCCAAAACGGGCTTTCACAGATACTGCTTCATCTTTTGTCAGTTTAGTCCCAAGTAGTTTTAATTGGCGAAGACCTAGACAATTGACCTGTCGCCGTTTGTGAGTTAGCCACGCCCCTTAGACAACCCTATGGAAATGTTGTACACTAAGTTTTGTGTGTCTCAGATTTTGGGCGTTCTGCGTCCATTTGTATATATCATGTAATTGGACAATATTTCACAAGCTGCGTTGATGTGATTCTCACGCAATTCTACTACGATAGGTCAATAGCTCTAGACAGGAGATTTGGAGGCGGCCTAAGCTTTGGAAGCATGTTTTATCAGTGTTATTTACTTCTTTCTGGTAATGAATCCAAGGATTTTTCAAAAGTGCCCCAGGCACTGTGGGTTGAAAACCTGAAAAAAAACTGTAGAGAGGAGACAATGAGGAGAAATTACAGAGGTCGGAGAAAAACCCCAGAAGAATATTCAGGGGGAACCCATGGCAGGGACTGAAGACCTAATCCACAATCCACATGTGGACCAGGACAGGAATCGAACCTTGGCCACAGAGGTCAAAGGTGAGGACACTGACCACTTCGCCAACCCGATTCCCCTATGTTATTTGCTCTTTTATAAAAAGATTGATGCAATGGAACATTCCAAAAAGGCTTCACAAATTATAAGAATGTACATGTATGTGGGTGAGGGGGGGGGGGGGGGTGTATCGCCTTAAGAAAAAACTACAAATCGTGGTTGTTTATGTAGTGCCTTTCCATTGTTGGAAACAATATATTTTTAATGTAAGCCTTGTATTTTTTCTAAGAGATTTCTTACTCTGATGTAAATATCGAATGAAAGTATATGTTAGAACTATTGTTTCTACGTGTATTTCTTAAAGTAAGGTACAAATTAACAATACCTGTGTGGATACTCACAAGTGACCTTGATCATTCACAGTGGTTGTTGAAGTAGTGCCTTTCCGTTGTTGGAAATTTTTTGTGAATGTAAACCTTGTATTTTTTTAAAGAGATTTCTTACTCTGATGTAAAATACTGAATGATATTATGTATTAGAACTACACTTATATTTCTAAAGTAAGGTATCTATTAACAATACCTGTGTGTAAATAGTGCCTTTCCCTTCTTGGATTTTTTTTTTTAATGTAAGCCTTGTATTTTTTTTAAAGAGATTTCTTACTCTGATGTAAATACTGAATGATATTATGTATTAGAACTACGCTTATATTTCTTAAAGTAAGGTATTTATTAATAATACCAGTGTGGATACTCACAAGTGACCTTGATCATTCACCATACATGTCAGCATTTGCTGGTTCTAATAAACTTGTACTTCTATTAAATTGGGTATGCAATATATTATCTCTATTTTTCCGTAACCGTATTCAGTTTCGTTGGAAAAAAATTGTATTTTCGTTTTGTTGTATGAAAGTTGATGTTGGTTTTAGTTGAGTGAATGGAAAAATGTGGACACAGAGTTGCAATCAAGTCAGTCACAATTTGGGTGATAATATTGTTGACAAGGTTCGGCACCAAGCCGGACCCAAGTTAGAGTGATATTTCCTAACGACATTAGTTTTATCTATGCAAGAATACTGATACAAATTTACAAGTTAAAGGGATGAACACTTAATGGCTTTGTCACAGTTTGTTGAGTAGCTTGTCACTGGACCTCAAAGATTTCATAGCAGATTTAATTTCAAAACGTTTGTTTCGCTTTGTGTGTGTGTGAAATAAAGTGAAGGTTTTACAGTATGTGACATTTTTAAACTACGATCAGTGCAATATCAATGGAGTTATTTCCAAAATTTCATTGACTCCGACGAATATTTTCTGACTTTTATATGTAGCAGTCAGAGCATAGCATGCATAGTTTGCGTTTCATTTTGAAACACTACACAGTTCCTTAAAGCTATCCAAAAAGTGACTGACGTAATTATTGTTGAAAAACATGCTTGGTTGAAAGATAGTAAGAGGACTAAACTCCCTGTGAAATTATTCTTTCTGGCATGCTGTCATTTTGAAGTAATCAACGAAAGAAGGCTTTTCCAATGGTGCGTCTTGGAAATTTCCGTTAGTAGTTCGGGTTTTTTTTATACGGCGAAGAGCGCGCAAGCGTTGACACGACGCACACACGTGCGCGGCTGCTAAATTCGTCGAATCGGTGCGCGACATCGCGTAGCTGCATTCGGCTCAGTGCGAACGTGCAGGCTCGGACGCTGGATTCAGGCCCAATTCAAAACATGATTCAGCAACTTTGGATTTGAAACCGAGATCTTAGAATGTTGTTTTTCTCGAAAAATACCGCTGAAGCTTAGCTGAAACTTCATCAGCTTGTGTGTTGCTTCGAACGAACAAAATGCACCAATTACAAATGATGGACTATACCTTTAATTTGCACAAACGTGGGTAATAGATAAGTTGTGAAAGACTTGTAAGATCTGTTACTGAAATAGCTAGTCTGGCAAAGTCCGTAAGTGTTAATTTTTACTGTGTGAGATCAAGTGGTATCAAATAGAATAAGTATTGGAAACTATTTAAATGTATGTGTGTTTACTGACTAGATGAAGATTTTCAGATGAAATTTTTCATAAACATCTCATTTTACCTAATTTTGCTAAAAATGCAATTTTAAGCCCTTACAAATTGCAGTTTTCCAGAAACATTTGATTTTGCCCTATTTTGCAAAAAAAAATGTAAGGTTAAGCCCTTACAATTTTAGAATGTTCATAAAAATCCGATTTTGCCCAATTTTGCTAAAAATGCAAGGTAAACTAACCCCTTACAATTTGAAATGTTTCATTAACATGTAATTTTGCCCAATTTTACAAAAAAAGCAAGGTTTAACCCCTTACAATTCGATTTTTTTTCATAAACATCTGATTTTGCCCACTTTAGCTTAAAATGCAAGTTTAAGCCCTTACAATTTGTGATTTTTCATAAAAATCTGAAATTGCCCAAATTTGCTAAAAATGCAAGATTAACCCTTACAATTTGAAATTTTTCATAAAAATTTGATTTTGCCCAATTTTGCTAACAATGCCAGGTTAACCCCTTGCAATTGAAATGTTTCATTAACATTTATTTTTGCTCAATTTTGCTAAAAATGCAAGGTTAACCCCTTACAATCTGCAATTTTCCAGAAACATCTGATTTTCCCCAAATTTGCTAAAATAAACAGGATAAAAAATAGCGCCAATTGAAATTTTCATAATCTAATTTTGCCCAATTTTACTAAAAATACAAAGTTAACCCCTTACAATTTGAAATTTTTCATAAACATCTCATTTTGCCCAAATATTCATTGTTTGACGGTTTCTTATGAAATTAAATCTGCTCATGTTAAACATAATGACAAATCACTACTCAAAAATTCAACTTAATACATCTTGTATTGCTGGAGTTGTTGCCCCCCAAACGAGTTTGGCTGTAGATAGTTATTGAGACCACTATATATGTAGCGCGCCCTCTACTGAAAGAATATTAAAGTGCGAGACCAGCCGATGCTGCACTAGTGAACAAAATGAACAACTCGCTTTCCGATGAATAACTCAAGAAATACAAGATGTATTAAACTGAAATTTCGTGCACTGATTTTCCACAATGTGTGTCAGAGGTGTATTGAACATCATGGGAAACAGTGCAACAAGAAAAATAATATGATCGTAACAATGTAGTGTTTTACACGCGAAAAATCCACATTGACTTTCATTCGGATTGCATTTGTGGCGCTTAAAACACTGTACTTTGTTACGGTCAATATAGCTTCATTGTTTGACGGTTTCTTATGAAATTAAATCTCGTAATGTTAAACATAATGACAAATCACTACAAAAAATTTCAATTGAATACATCCTGTATTTCTGGAGTTGTTGCCCCCGAAACGAGTTTGGTTGTAGATAGATTTGAGACCACTATATATGTGTCGTCTAATTGATTTATATATGACGAATTCGATTTTTGAATGCTGCCATTCGGCAACGGCTTAGACGTATTTGATCTGTAATGATCTTGAACTTGAAAGATGTACCGGTATTATCTGGCATTGCTCGCGAAAAGGTTTCTGACTGTGCCAATACAGGGCGCTGTTTTTTTTTTTGTCATGCAAAATTTTAGGCGATTTTATCCCAGATTTTCTAAGCGTTTTCATCCCACGGACTAAATATTGTTTAGATGCAATGTTACAAAATGTATGTTCTTTTGATGGTGGAAAAGGTTTCAACTTTAATATTTTTATGTCGAGGCCTACACTGAAAAGTTGTCTGGGTTAATATTTTGCCCAAGAAAAACTGGAACTACCTAAACTTGGGTTGTTCTATAACCAATTGTTGCGGTTAAAATTTCTAACCAAAAGTTGTACTCATACAAGACCAAATTAAACTTGGAATTGAGTGACCACAATTAGTTTTGGTTGAATTTAGCAGAAATTCTAACCCAAACACTTGGTTATAGAACAACCCAAGTTTGGGTAGTTCCAGTTTTCACCCTTCCTTGGGTAAAATTAACCCAGGCAATTTTTCAGTGTATAATAAGTGAAATACATGTGTGCTATATAGGGGAATAAGAATTTTATGTATGATGTAAATAAACCACGGCAATTGGGTTCTGAATATCCTTAGAGAAAGATTTCCCCTAATATAAAAACCAAGGTGAATTTCAATTCACCTATTTTTACAAATATATGGTGTTTTTTTCTGGTTTTTTCCTCTATAAAACTATATATATGTGTGTGGGACAATTGTCTCTTTTGCATTCCATACTTGAGAAGTACACACGCATGCAGTTGGCGTGAAGGTCAAACTATTATTAATGACAAGGACATTGGCTTTATGTATAGAGTGCTCTATAGAGTGCTCTAGTGTGATTCATCCACCTGCTTAATATGCACAAGTTGTAGTGCACAAGTGGGCAAAGGTTTGCAGCATGTTCGCAACCAAATATGGGGTTAAACTTGCTGAACACTGAGTAAATAGGCAGCATGTACTGATGGACATGTGATCATTTTGTTTAGTATTTGAAGAAGACCGAGGCTGAACTATCGCAAGTGAATATCACAGCTGGTAAAACTGTGTACAGGTGTACACGTTTGTGGCAAGTCTGCTGGTGCTAGTACAACTTATGCTAGTTTTTAATTCGCCATGTCCAGCTTCCTGGTTGTGGACAGGCTAATCGTGGACACCCAGTCCACTGGCCAGTGTTGTATTGAGTTGTGCCAGGGGGATATCACTCAGTTGGACGTTAAGGACAAGGTCGATGTCCTCTGTGTGTCAGTTTTTGGAAGTGAGTACAACTTGTTGCTATTTTATATTAAGAGTAATTCACTTCATTGACATGTAGCTTTAATGGGTGCAGTACATGTATGCATATAGACTCCAGTAATGCTACTGCTATGGGGCCTACCGGTCTATAGCCTGTGTGACAGTGCAATAATTGCACCTTATCGCATTGTTATACAATGTAGTTGGTGAATATACTCAAAAGTCAAAGACAATAAATCATGCATTGCATTGTTTCTATCTGAATTTTCCTTCTATATGTAGTGCATATGCCATAATTCTTGTATAATTGAAAACTAGTAAATTAAGTCAATTTATATGTGAGGGTGGGCTTTTAATTTTTTTTGGGGGGGGGGGATTTGATCAGGGTTTTGGTTATTTTTGTTGGTCAATTTTGTCTTTTAATGCTATTTGTCATCCAAGTGTTAACAAAAAATTTGCAGTGTGTAATGTGACATTTCCTGATTTTAAGAACATTTTTGTTAATTTGTAGTCTACCCATGGTCATATACTCGTACGCAGATAGTTGTTATGTGTGAGGAAATATCTTTAACCTTACAAATCTTTTTAGATGATAAATCTCCAAGCATTCAACTTCCAAATTTTCTCCACATGCTGCAGGTAGCTACTCCCCATCGTCCCACACTTTGGTTGGTGCCTTGAATAAAAAACTGAATCTGAGTGTCAAGCGATTGGCCAAGGATAAAGAAGAAGACCTGCGTCATGCTTACATGTGCTGGTGGTCCAAACCGCTGCCAGAGAACCTGCCTTTTAGAAAACTGCTTTGTTTTGAAAACAGGTCAGTGATAAAGTGAGGTTTTTGTAATTTATTTGATTTGTATTGTAATTACATGCCAGGTATACTGGTATCCTTGTTCTATTCTTTCTTTTTGTATGGCGTGCACAGCCTACAGATGTAGGCCAAGGGTAGTCCGAGTAACTAGGACTCCACAGATCGCTTTTTTAACATTTGGACATGGGCTGCTGTTGCCCGACCATGTCCAAATGTTAAAAAAAGTGATCTGTAGAGTCCTAGTTTAGACCAAGGGTAGACATCCAGGCTAGGGCGTCATTGGTTACGGTGTGGATGGCTTCGATGCCGCCAGGGAAAAGCCTCAGTGGGCAGTCGTTCATGATGTGCTGGAGGGTCTGGTCTGGATGTTCGCAGTACGTCTCAAGCAGGGCTCTCTGTCATCCCCCACTTATGCAGATGATGGGCTTCTCTTGCATGGAGGGTGCAGATTCTGTTCAGGGTTAGCCTTTGCTTGCGATGGAGGTCAAATCCGGGTTGTTTTACTGTGGGATCTGTGATGGTCTCTCCATTGTTGGTGTCCCATCTGCCCAGAGTCTGCGCCACTCAGTCTTAGGATCAAAGTCATCCAGGGATTTGACTGCAAGACCGGAAGGGCTTATGGGACTTCTATTATGTATTCTATTGTGTGGTATTAAATGAAACTCTGGATAAAACCCAACAAATTCAGAATAATCGACATGTATTCTCAAACATAGGTTTTTGATGATTATCTCTTCTGATCCAGGGGTAGATTGTTTCGCCCCCAAGAGCTGGTAGCCAATGTCTTTCGTTGCCTGGTGCCCATCCTCAACAATGAACCAGGAACTGTCATTTCTCCACTACTCAACACAGGAGGACAGGTAGGCATACCAATCTAATATTAAGACAATTTAAATCAACCCTTGAAGTAGCCATGCCAAAAATCTAGGCTGCAAAATCAGCATCCTCCTTGACTTAAAGAAGATTCAAAATCATTTTTCTTCTCACTGATGACCTTGCGCTGTGCTATTTTTGTGCCTCACTGCAAACTTTTGGTCCCATTTGAACAAGTACCCCCCAGTGGTTAGGTGAGACTACTGAAAGTGCACCATCTCCCCACATTTATGCCTTCCTCTCGTGAAAAAACAATTCTGCCTTGTGCAGATTCAAAAGAAAATTAGTTGCCCGCACTTATCGTCATACACCAGCAAACCGGTGAGCACGAGCTACATGTATCAGTGTTGTCCAGAGACCGTACAAGACCATCACAAGACCAACACAAGATCAACATTGTCTCAGTTCAATTGTCTCAGTACAATTGGTCTTGCGTCTGGACTTGTACGGTCATGACAACTAGGTGAGGTGTGTCCCGCATATACGGTACAAAATGATGTAAAATTGCAATGGTCACAAGTGATATCTATGCACAGAGAGGCAAGTTCCAATAGAGAACATTTCAAAAGCAGTGCTTACCAAATACTTCCCAAGCTTTCAGGCACAGGTCCTTCTTCAGGGGTTGGTTCTTGCTTGTTTACCTTCATCACCAGTGCTACACAGCTTCTCTATAATTAGGCAATTTTCACTGGCATATAAAACTGTGGCTCATGTGTTTCAGGGCCGTGATGAAGCCACCATGCTGGTGGGAATGGTGGAAGCCGCCATCAAATGGATGAAGGCCGGCCTGCCTTTGAAACAACTCAAGATTGTGCTGTACGCCAACGTCATCAAGGGAAAAGTGATCACCGTGCACATGCGAGATCAAGAGGGGATCATGAAGGCTTTCAGGGATCTGAAGAAGAAACACAACAGGCAAATATTCATTCCAATGGTATGTTAATTGAGGTCATGGGAATATAAAACCATCTGCTTCCTTGAAAATTATCCAAGTATATATACATTTGCTCAGGTCACTTGTGGATAAATACAAGTTCGCTATAATCCCTTGTGCTCACGGTCCCCAGATCAGTACATGTTTTATGAACACAAATAGATCTAAATTTGAACCTTCATTGTCAGTAGGGATGCATCTTGGATAGTCTATAAGCTTTCCATCAATATTTTAATACCTGAACCACTCTGCTCACTGAGCAATACTGATTGAAAACAAAGCTAAAAACTTGTTTTGCCAAGTAACATAGACTGATATTAGTTGTACAAAATGTAGCTTGATGAACTGTCCCTGCAAGCATTAAGTTAGCTGTTGTGCCTATAGTGACTGCGTAACATTGGACTCAGTGTGCATCTGAACTGTGGTTATTTCTAATCAGGTGTGTTGCAGATCATTAATTTTTTTTTATCCTTTTAACACAGGCCGTGCCTCTTGAGTATGACATCTACCTGTCTCACAGTGCAGCGGATGGCCAGATTGCATCGATGGTTGAGACCAAGTTCCGAGCCTCCAAGCCAGACATAAGGATCTACAAGAGCGAAGAGGTCCCCGTTGAGAATGCAGAAGATAAAGCAGAGACAGAAGGCTCCTTCTGGCAGGAGGACCTGTTCAAGATTATGTCGAGATGTGCTCGAGTGGTCCCAAGTAAGTTTCAGTCCCGACTGCTTTTGGATATTTCCTAGTACTTCTTCACAAGTTGAAATTAAAATTTAACCATTAAATATGAACTTACAGGCATCTACGTCTATAAATACTAGACAAGACAGCTTATAGCAGCAGAAAAGTTGATGAAATTGAAAAGCAACATAAGCGTCTATCTTGCTGAGTGAGGTAAAATTGTTGCCTGTTATTTCTTTGCTAGTTCTAAGCCCTGCGTTTCTTGAGAGCAAGGCTTGCGTAGACCTGTACAACATGGCCCTGTGTTGTAACAGGAGAGCTCAGCGGGACTTGCTGGCCCCACTCTACATAGAGAAGATTGAAGATATGCCGACCTACATGGGACTAGTACAGTACATCGACTGCAGGTGATTAGGACAGTTCAGGCTGTTTGTTATTCTTAGATTAAAAAATTAATGAAAGTGTTCACTGATCCTTGTGCAGTGTGCAGTTGACATCATCTTGCTGAAAAAGAAAAACTGCTGACTTAGCTAGATTTCAATACTTGAAGCTTATATTCATGTTGTCATGGGCTTGCCGGTACCTTGTCACTTGTGGCTTAATTTTACTCATGATGAATCAATGAGCCGTTTTAACTATACCTTAGAGTTGGAAAGAGACATCAAGACATTTGATTGGAGAACAGTACCTGACGAGCTACTTGACATGAACTTTGCATGCCTACTTATTTCCACTAAAAAAAAATCTTTAATTCCACTGACTTTTTTTTGTCTTTTTTAATCACAGTCCGAAGGATGAAGCTAAGATCAGTGAGGGCTGTGAACATTTGGTTCAGTCTCTGGCGCATTCCAGCATGAAAGTCCATACCGAGATGGTGATTGCTGACACCTCGCCACTGCATTATGATGTCTTTGTGTCATACAGTCATCAGGATTCCAGGCTAGCTGCCCCAATTGTTGAGAAGCTGCAGAAGATGAATCCAGAGCTTCGCATCTTCTTCGACATACAGGAGCTTAAAGCTGGTAGGTTCAAATGTTATTTACACAGAGAATTGAACTTCTAGAATGTTAAAAAATGTTTTGTGTGCATTGGATATTTGTTAAGCTCGACTTGCTAAAAGCAGGTGCATCTAGTCACCAGACAGAATCACATCATTGTTGTTTTTACTTATCAAGGCACGGCATGGCAGAAGATGTTGTATCATGCCATAGATGGCTGTCGTTCCTTCATGGCGTTGGTCTCTAATAGCTACATGAAGTCGGCCATGTGCATCGAGGAATTCAACTTGGCTCTAGCAAAACACTGTTCATCGGTGAGTAATTTTTTTTTTGTAGAACATCCCAGCTCCCACATGTGTGATGGGTGTGTCCACGTTGGTGTGAAGCTAGGTCAAACCCCAGTACGTAAATTAATATTGATCCATCTATTGTTAAGGATTCTCGGCTGTGCCTGGTCCCAGTCTGCATTGAACCTCTTGTGGACCCGTTACCAGAGTTCCAGCAGGTGAAACTGATCAATGCCACGCCTGATGTTTTTGACCCAGCTGTGGAAATCATCTGTAACTCTCTAGTTGACTGGATTGCTGGACGGGACTGGAGCCCACTGCTTGATTCCATCTTCAGGAAAAAGATGGTAAGTCTCTTGATCACCAATGAAGAGAAGAGAACATCAGATATGTACCGGTAGCTAATTTTTTTTTCGCCACAGAAGTCGCAACATTTTCCAGTCTACTGGTAGAGTCTTTTTACCCATGTGTGCCTTGTACACGATTCCTGACCTACTTTCAGGTGGATCTGGTGTAGCTTGCATAATTCAAAAGAATGCAAAAAACAAAATAAGATTGTTACCTGCTGAATCGAAATATCCAACAGATTGATTAAATTGCCTACTGTCTAGTCATTTTGGTTTACAAGCAAATGTAACAGAATTGTGAAATGTTGATACTGCTTGGCTAAAACCAAATTTTCCTGCTGTTGTAATGTAATGATATTTTGTCTGTTTTTTTGTAATCAACAAAAACCCTGGGTTGTGTTAACAATCGCAAGGATATCCCTTTCAAATGAGATTGTCTAATCTAGTATATTATATCATATACAGAGGAAGACAGTGGATGCTTCAGAGTATGCCATGGAGCGCAGACGACTTGAGTTCACCCTCAAATATGGCAAGGGAGAGAAGATACTTAAACGAGATGATGTGACATATCCTCCATCATTGCAAGGTGTGTATTCCCCGAGCCCGCTTGCTGATGACACAAATACCAATGACAAACCTTGTGATGTGGCTTTCAGCTGTTCACCGGAGGACAAAAAGTTTGTCAATTATATGACCAAGATCCTTCGCAAGGTCAGCCCCGGGCTTGTCATCAAAGAGACCGCAGACACTGAGAACGAACGCCTGGCTCTAATGGAATCTGCTCGGAAGGTAGTGGTCTTCCTCTCTGCCAATTACTTAGAGTCTGTGCAGCAGGTGGAGGAGTTCCACACAGTCCTCCTGAGGCAGAGGTACCGGAGTCCCACGCAGGTTCTCTTCCCAATTATCCTTCACAACCTGCCTCAGCTTCCGACTTACTTCCACCTGGTTCCCTGCGAGTTCAATCTCTTTGATCCCATGTGGATGGACTTGTACACCAAGTACTTGATCATCAAAGACTTGCGGAAAATGGACCAAGTGCATCTTAGTCACGAGTTGGAGAGGTCGGAATCCATTGCAGTTATTGCAGCCACTCACAGTCTCCTTGGCCAACTCAAAACTGAAAGGTGGGTAAAAAATGTTGAATGTTGCGCATTTATGAAATAGAACTGGAACGTGCAATGCGGAGAGACAAACATTGACTTGCCCTGAAAGTGAATGTGCCCAGTTTCAATGGGTTGATGTGGAGTCCTGTGGCCTCGTGATTAAGGGCACTGGATTCGTGGTCTGTGGGTAAAGCTGCGGGTTGTAGGTTCGAGTCCATGCCTGGGGTCATGGTGCGTGTGCCCTTGAGCAAGGCACTTTGTCACGCATTGCTTCTCTCCACCCAGGAGTAAATTGGTACCAGTGAGGGCATAGATGGTTATTGTGATCGAATATAGCTTGTTTGCGCCTAACAGGCAGCATCCAGCTGTATACTCCCTAGGGAGCTGAGATGGTATTTGGAATGTTTAATTGGCCCAATGATCAGGGGTAATGATAATACTGTAAGCGTTGTGATGTAGTTTACTAATAAGAGCGTTCTTAAATGCTGATTGTTATTATCATTATTATTATACACACAAGGTAATATGTAGAAATCATGAATATTTCGATGCTGATCACAGTCTTAGCGATTTCAGTGCAACGTTCCATTGGTTCTTATTACTATTAAGATGTATTGCTGTGATGCTTATGTGTTATTTCAACAGCGAGTTACCGCCAGCAGCCAAGACCAGTCAGGAACCGATGCTGCTCAATGTCATGCTCCTTAGCTCAGAAGTCTCCAGACTGCACAAGAAAGTGAGGAATGTTGATGAGGTGGATGCAGATAAGTTTGGCAACGTCAGTAATGAAGGCAATGCAGATGCTGGATCGTTGGAAGATGTAAGTTGGGGATGAAAAAGTGTTTCAAAATAAGTACATGCATGAGCATTATAAGGAAGGGCGCAAGGGGGAGGACAATTGCAGTCCCCCCCCCCCCCAACCACCACGAAACAAACCTGGGAAAAAAAGGACAACAACAATATTTATCATGGCCAGTGATTTCTCACATCGTTTCTGCTGAGTGTTTCCCCCCCCCCCTGTAGAAAAATCCAGGCAATGCCAATGGGTATTCTATGAGTCTATTGGTATTTAATTATGGTTAAAAATACTATCAGGCCACCGGTGTGGCTCTCATTTTTTTTTTAACTGATCTTACACGTTGCGAAGAATCCGTTACATTGTGGAATAACTCGTTCAAATCTCTTACGTTCTAAATCTTCCCTCTTCATTTCTGATATTGCATGAATTTCTAATTGAAGACTTTTTGCTTCTTCATCAGTTTCTACTGAATATTGTTGAACTGCCATTAGCCACCGAGGACCTTGCAACTGGAGCAAGTGATGCCGGGATAAGTAGTGTCTCAGATCTTGAGAGCACCTCGCCTGACACTCAGGCAAGAGATGGAGATGAAGCTGTCTCGATTCACGAATTTACACAAACCCCACAGACTGCGATGTCAAGCACAGAGGCTAAATCTAAGAATGGGAATAACTCCAATGATCGTTATTTCCCTGATAAAAATCCTGACATTACTGTGAATTCCAAGGAACAGTCTATGAACGAAAGCCATACAAAGAATGGAGAGATGGAAGACATTTCGCCCATTGATGAGCCTTTAGTAGGCCTAGATGGACAGCCCCAAGTAAACAATGCAGGAAAGAATGAGGATCAGTCACAGCAAGATTTCCAAAGTAGAGTTGAACCTTCTTCTGAAAGTGCTACAAATATTGGATCATCAATGCCCATCAAACATACAGATGACGTATCAGTAAAGCCTGCCTCTGCATCTGAGCAAGGACCACCGAATGAAGGGAGTAACACAACTCACCTCAGCGCACCATCTTCCTCTCGAGGCAATGAAAAGGACGGGCTGGATGCTGTCTCCAGTCAAGAAGAAGCAGATGACGGCACTCCAGTTGATGGGCCGTATGTCTTACATCAGAAGACACAGTCACCCAGTCTTGGGGCTCAATCTGCTGAATCGACTCCAGTACCGAGTACATCGTGGTGTAATACACTCTAGTTTATTAAACCGAAAAAAAATCTATAATGTTGAATGGTATGACTCTGATACATTGAACGATTTATTAAAGAGTATAGTTGAAACATACTTTGGCTTCAGAATGCAATATGATTGTTGGGCGCAATCGGTGGTTGTGCAAAATTGGTCGATCTCGGTGCGCTATCAGTCGGTCACGCTGCAATCAGTCGAACATCTTTTCTTTCTAAGTCACGGCTCTGGAGGATTTTTTTAAAGGTAAAAGTCAAAGAAACCGATAGTGCACCACGATCGACCAATCGCGCAGATCAACCAATTGTGCCCAACATGATTATATGATAGTGAGCTACACCCAGCACCGGGCCTGTGACGCTAGACATACTCTTTTCCCCCCGAATCGTTTCTTTTGTCTGTCGTACTGGGCCTAATACATATATGTATGTCGGTGCTACCACATAAGTCATTATACAAAAATCTCCATCGCAATATTTGGGCCATAATGATTATGAAATATCGGTAAGTTACAAAACTTCAAAGATGGACTAGTTTTAAAGGTAATTGTTACTTGGGCCTGATTTCAGCCACCAGATGGAATTAAGTCTACATTAAGGCAATCATTACTAAAATTGACAAAGTAAAGTAAATTACCTGGGACTGCCTTCATTATTTTTATACTAAAATTCAAACTAAAAGTAATAAGCACTTTTACGGTAATGTGCGCCATTTTGCTGATGCCAAATTTACATGCGTTGCTGAGTACGCATCGTCACTCGAAAACTTTTGCGCTTCCAAGTCATCATGCGTTCATTCCGAAATGCGCCCGTGTTTAGCAACGGGTCTTTGCCCCGTGGACAAGATGGCGCACATTACTGTGAAACTGCTAAAAAATACTCTGAATCTGATTTAATTGCCTAGTCTATTTACACAGCCAAAACACACAGCCAGATAGCCAGAGCAAGGGCTCGGCAATAGCGCTATTATTAATATTACACAAGCAATTCCTTTTTCTTGTTTAAATAGTCACAAGAAAGGTCATACATCACGTAGAAGTTTCACCTTGGGCCTAATTAAATTAGTGGATGTTTATTTTAATATGTTATTGAAGAATTTATTCCGAAAAGTCAATATTTCACAAACTTACCTGTGACTGGCTGGAGTAACCATGCCCAGCCACAAACAAACACCTCCTGATGCCCTGCAACTTTTGAAACTATGCACATGTAGTTCATGCCCTGACCTTTGGCCGTGTGTGGTCAACTAATTATTCAGCAGGATTTCCCAAGCGTTCTCAACATGAACTATACGGTCACAAGTATTGGAATTAAGGCCGAGCCGACCGTGCTGCTTCTTTCAAAGATTTCACAGGTAATTTTGCTCATTTGTTGTTCATTTTGCCATTCAGTTTTCCTTCAAAATTGTAATAATTCTGAATAATACTTCGTAGAGCTGGTCTCACATTTTCACTGGCACCATTATTACGATAGTCGTGGGATATTTTGAGTACATTGAAAGTGAGGATTTTTTTGTACATTTCGCTAAATGCCGGAGCAAGCGGCAAGCGGCAAGCGGCTTTCGTTTGTTGAACAAGACGTATGTTGAGGGCGGTATGACAATATATGAGAGGAACTTTTGGTTTTAGGAATTACTTTGTCTGACGCTTTATAATTAAGTCCTTGATAAAACAGTAAATATCCGAGATCGACAATATCCCGTTATTTCGTGCCTTCCTTTTTGTTTGCGATTCGTAAATGTACTTGTATCTTGATTGTATCTTGCTTGTTATTGAGCCTTTCAAGGTCGAGTTGAATCCTAGGGCTTGCATGACCTTCCCGCAAAATCATGGTCAGAACTTATCGGATATTAACTTAGAGGGGGCACGTGCATGGTTGCATGCAAAGTAGAAGTAAGAGAAAACAACAGTAGTTGATGAGATAATTGATAATTACTATAGGCCCATGTTGGAGTGAGTTTACAGCTGTGGAATTTCCAAATATTATTAAGACTGCTTTTATAAGAACCGGTAGATGGAGCTTCAAGTTGAAGGATAATCTCGTTGAAGTGATAAAGTATAATATATTTGTTTGGAAGTGCCTTTGTTTTCATTGGGAGTTTGGCTCCAAAGTACTGGCCTTGTTATTTGTATTGTTTGTTTGTCACACTGTGCCGTGGAATTTGTAAAATTGCCCTTTTCAGTGTAACATTCACTAACCCAAGGTTTGCTATATACAATGTTATATTCAATTCTATTCAAATTACTTTATTTATCATTCAAAAGGCAACTACATAATTGCTGGACAGCCTACTATTAAACAAACTCAAAATAATTAATAGTCAACTAAATATATAAAATTTTTAAAGAACTGCATTGTACAAACTATACAATTATAGATTTCAAATTGATGTAAAAAATTCTAAAATAATATCATTTCACCTTAAATACGATGATGAATGTACCCGATGACAAATGAAATGACAAGTAAAATGATGGACCTTTGACAATGCAAATATCAGTTATTTTGTAAAGTCTAATAGCCACTGGAATGAGGCGAACTTTCTTCTGTTCCGTGATGGCAAAAAATATGAAATGACAAATACATGTATGATGGACCTTTAGAAATACAAATATCAATTTTTTTGAAGGTCTAATAGCCACTGGAATGAATGAGAACTTCCTTCTGTTACAAGGATGACATGATGGCATCTGAAATGGCGTCCCAATAGTTTGTTAACGAGTGCCAATTTTGTTTAGTGCCCTTTTTTTCCCTCAAAAAGTGCCCTTTAAAAAAAAGTCGTGTGCGTCAGTGGCATCAGTGAGCATATCGTCGGTTTTCAACAGCGCCACCGTTGAGTGATAGTTTCAGCCCCCCCCCCCCCCATTTGATTTTACGGGGGTCAAGTGTCCGGAGAAACAAAAACATGTCTACATTTCGGCACGAATGTAGAAGTGCCCTTTTCGAGAAATGTTTACCCTCCCCTCCAATAAAAATGACCTTGCTACGCATCTGCCGATACAATTTCAACTTCCTGGACATGGATGACCATAATTAACAATTATTTCCTTGGTTTGAGTACATCCAATTCCGGATAGGAATCATCACATCAGTCAACAAATTCTTGAAGAGAATCGCCCATGATTATTATCTGACACAGAAAGGAGTGAAATTAAAGCACTACGTCATGATGATGTTATCGGCATAACTAATATATCTTCATGTTTACTTCTACAGTTGTCAGTATATCAAAATATGTACAATAGGAGTGGTGATAAAACACCCATGTGGAGAACCAGTATTAAGAAACTGGGTGCATTGTATACTCTAGTCCGCATGGTTACCTTGGCTACAAGTCGTGTACTACGAAGTGCGTGGTTACCATGGCTTCTGCACAGCTGTGCATCAACACTGTGGTGAACAACCCCTCCCCCCCCCCCGGTTTCCTCAGAGACAGTGACCCCTGTATTTGTGGACAGTGCGTGTACGTTGTGCTGCAGGATGCATAGGTTATGCTGCATGATTCACAACCAGATTTACACTGCCATCTACATAACAGAGTGCCTGCTTGTTTACATTGTGTGAGTCTGTGACACACGTAGATTGTCAATAAATACATATCGAACCATGACCCTGCCAGTGATAGTTGGCTGCATGAGTGTGAAATATGAAGTGTGTATACATACAATAATGGCTACTCGTGTGCCCATCGTGACGTACAGTGTTGTACATGTAGGTTATTCTAATAATTACTGAGTCATGTCCAACTTCCTGATTGTTGACAAGCTGGTCGTCAATACCCAGTTCAGCGGCCAGTGTTGCATTGAGTTGTGCCAGGGAGATATCACTGATCTGGATGTGAAGGATAAGGTGGATGTCATCTGTGTTTCAGTTTTTGGAAGTGAGTACATGTAGGCATATATTGTGCTATTATTAGATTCACAATCATTACACAAATTTGTACTGCAGTAAATTCGTTTGTAACTTTAGTATATTGGCCTATAGGTATAGTTGTAGGCTGAAGTTTGAGACATCTGCCTTTAGCATGTAAAATTAAGAAAATGTGTTTAATTCATCTGTAAGGATATCGGTCTTTAAAACGTGTCTCCTTATGCTTGATAAATGTTTTGATAAAATGAGTGTTTCAGGGATGATCATTATATTGTTTTGTCGATCGAAGCATTCTGAAAAATCTGCTCAATTTGTGGCAATTATCATTTTTCAAAACTCATTTAGGCCTATATTAAATGTACATGTACCACCCCTCATGTACCACCATGGCTCAAACCTGCACGTATAAGGTTTAATGAATTAATCAGTGATTACTCTAAATGTGATACAAGTGCTTATTAGAGTCATCAATTTTACAAGACATTATATTCTCCCCACAGGCAGGTACACGCCATTATCAGACACATTGGTTGGTGCCCTGCATGAGAAGTTGAAACTGAGTGTCAAACTGCTTGCCAGAGATAAGGCAGAGGACCTGCGACATGCTTACATGTGTTGGTGGTCCAAACCTCTTCCTGATCATCTTCCATACAGGAAACTGCTTTGCTTTGAGAATAGGTAATTAGTTTTGAGCATTATTGAAATATTTGACACTAGGGTTAATTGAAATCAATTAAAATAAACTTATGTTACGAAGCAGGGAAAACTTGAAACAGTTGCCGAACCAGAGCAACTTATGAACTGAGCAATAAAGCTTGAAAGTGGTGTTATGAATATCCCATGCTACAACTTTTCAAAAAGTCTTAAGTGTATTTTTGTTTCTTTGTCTTAGGGGAAAAGTGTGTCGACCCCAGGAGCTGGTTGGTAATGTTTTCCGTTGCCTGGTACCCATCCTGAACAATGAACCGGGAACTGTCGTTACTCCATTACTCAACACTGGCATACAGGTGAGTTATAATTCATACACTACATCAAAGAAGTTGTTGACAAAATGTCAAGCTCCTTTCTTACGGAGTCTATAACTAAATATTTACTCAATATTTGAGTTGTCTATTTGAATAAGTGTTTTTTTCCTACATTCTAAGTTTCCAAGTTTTGAATTTCTCTAGTGGTCGTAGTATATGAAATTCTGTATTAATTCAGCGAAGGAAGGGGAAGGAAGAGAATTTTTTTTTTATTTAATGCGTCTTCCTGGAGAAGGGGCAATTTCTTACATGCAAAATGTTTCAAATGCCTCCTAACATAACTTTCACCAAGGGTGTATAACTTCAAACTAATTGATGGGCTTGTCCGCTTGTGTGAATTTCAAATTCCTTGCATTTGTTACAGAAAAAAGACTGCATTGTAAAATAATTTCCTTAATTTTCACTGATCACAGGGTGTTGATGAAGCCACCATGCTGGTGGGAATGGTGGAAGCCGCCATCAAATGGATGAAGGCAGGCCTGCCTCTCAAACAACTCAAGATTGTGATGTTTGCCAAGGTAGTAAAAGGCAAAGTGGTTCAGGTGAACATGCGAAATCTTCAAGGAGTGTTGAAGTCATTCAAAGAGCTGAAGGAGCGATACAACAATTCTGATGTCATCCCTCTAGTAAGTGAGCATTGTTCATACATCGTGATTTGTCATCAACTGGTTTTTTTTTTGGCGGGGGGATATTATCACAAGGGCTGTTATGAAGAAAAGTCTTTCCAAAATTTCATGTATAGAGATATTTCATCGGTTTTCTCTGGAAATTAAAATTATTTATATGTGTCTTTGTTAAAGAAATTCCTTCTTCAAATGTATATTGAAAACTTTGATTCTTTAAATAATTAGGACGTTCCTCTTGAGTACGACATCTACCTATCTCACAGCCCTGAGGATGATGAGATTGCATCCACGGTTGAGGCCAGGTTCCGAGCTTCAAAGCCCGACATCAGAATCTACAAGAGCAAACATGCCCTGGATGAAGTTGCCGATGGACAGGCGTCCTTCTGGCAGGAGGAAGTTTTCAATGTCATGTTAAGAAGTGCTAGAGTTGTGCCAAGTAAGAAACCATTGACTGGAAAATTGCATGTTTAAAAGCTATGCTTTTGAGGAGTTAATTTGTTGCTCCAGCCCAGGCAATACAATTTGTGCATTACGGGTGGAATAATAACTTTGTCATGATGTACTTGCTGACATATCTATATAAAAAAAAATCGTCATTTATTTTAGTTGTTTGAGGGAAAATACAATGTAGAACAGGTAAATCTGCTGAACAGAGTTGAGAAAATCTATGAAGTTTAATACATTCATCATCACAGTTCAAGAAAGTTTGGAATGTTATGCCCACAAGACATTTGGGATAGTTAGCTGCCCAACAACATAAAACTTATTCATTGATAATTGTTGGTGTTTTTACTTCTGTTTTAAATAGTCCTAAGTGCTGCGTTTCTTGAGAGCAAGGCTTGCGTGGACTTGTACAACATGGCCCTGTGTTGTAACAGGAGAGCTCAGCGGGACTTGCTGGCTCCACTCTACATAGAGAGGATTGAGGATATGCCGACCTACATGGGACTAGTACAGTACCTCGACTGCAGGTGAGACGCAGTGCAAGCTTGAGCATTTTGTTCTTTACGTCTTGAGCTCTTAAGGTCGTAAGTCTGAATTATAGAGCATCTCTAAAAGCTTATGAACGTTTAGCCGGAAGAAAGATTAATAGTCTTTCAGGCTAGAAATCGCTCATGTCGAGGTATGGGCAAACCAAAATTGCCAGGGAAAGCTCAAGAAAACTACTATTATATTTTTTGCATGTCAATTATATTGTTTGCCTGTGAAGAACATCTTGTCAAGATCCAAATGCCAGGCCGCCTTATTTTTTTTTGATTTGTATAACTTTAGGCCAATCTAGTCAGAAAGCAATTTGCAGTAGTTTTATTCATTTTCATATTCTTATCGTGTGTATAAAAAAATAATGTGAAAAAGGTTGAATGTACGGAAACAGTTTTCTTGCTGCATTGGATGATTACTTGTGTGCCTTATTCAACGTGCTTTTATTCTAACTGTTTTAATGATTTTGTGTTAATTCAAGGAATCTGATAAATTTAGTTCTATTTTCTTATTTATAAAACAAATTCAGCCCCAAAGACGAAGCCAAGATCGGTGAGAGCTGCCGGGATTTGGTCAAATCTTTGGAGCGTGATAGCTTGAAGGTCCACTCCGAGATGGTCATGGCTGATGATTCCCCACTTCACTATGACATCTTCGTCTCATATAGTCATCAGGATTCCAGGCTAGCTGTCTCGATTGTTGAGAAGCTGCAGAAGCTGAATCCAAAACTCAAGATATTTTTCGACCGCCAGGAGCTCAAAGTTGGTGGGTTTACATTTTGCAATTTTTTTTTATCCTGTCATTTACGAACAGTGATTTCCCTGACATTTGGCTTATATACATTGTTGTATTTTCATTTGTTTCATTTTATTCAAAAAATCCTTCCTGTATTAACAACCAAAAACAAGTTAAAGTGTACCTTTGAATTTGAAGTATAGGCCTACTTTCAAAATGAAATGAATACCATGTGTTTTCTCATTTTATTACAGGCATCGCATGGCAAAGAACACTGTATCATGCCATAGACGGCTGTCGTTCTTTCATGGCGCTAGTTTCAAATACCTACACGAAGTCGGCAATGTGCATTGAAGAATTCAACTTGGCTCTAGCAAAACATTGTTCATCAGTGAGTTATCTTATTGCAAATTAGTAGACAGTGAAAGCCTTATAGTTTTTCATTTAATGGAATTTTAAAAATGTATGAGTGTCACGATCAGATAAGGGTGGTGCCACATTAACAAGTCTTTACCTCTGCAGTCCATTTATATGGCTATCTGTAAAAAATAAAAGTTGAGCCGCAAATTTCTTGCCAAATTTCACTTATATTTTATCCCACACCCCACATACAGTCTACAGTAATTCACAAGTCCTGATTATGATTGAAACTCTGCTATTTAAAATGAGTGCGAAACGACGCCGACCATGCATGCCAAAAACATTAGCCAGCCACAGTTTGAGCTATACGTGGCACAATGATGATGAACATTAAATCAAACTGATTGGGACAGATCATAGCCTGGCAGAAGCTAAGACGTTATAATTGTACACAAGGGGGGGGGGGGGACGTTGAAATGTTTTCCAGAACTGTGAGTGGCACACCTCCAATGCGACAGGGCCTATACTTCTCTGCCTTATAACACTTTAAGACAGCTAAGTGTAGCTCCACTCTTTTTAACCAAATGCAAAGACGGAGCTGGCTGAGGCACGGAGAAATTCTCAACAACTCTCAAAAGAATGATTTTCAGCAAGGCAAGGCGCCAAAAGAATTAAAGTCCACTTATCTTTTTACCCTTCAGGATTCCATGATACGCCTGGTCCCTGTCTGCATTGAACGTCTCGTTGACTCTTCACCCGAGTTCCAGCAGGTGAAACTCATTAATGCCACACCTTGTGTGTTTGACCCGGCTGTGGAGATCATCTGTACCTCTCTAGTTGACTGGATTGCTGGAAAGGACTGGTACCCTCAGCTGGACTCTGTTTTCAGGAGAAGAATTGTAAGTGCCCCAATATTCTATCAAGGAACTTTAGGGGCGGAGGGTTTGTGACTAACTGGTTTGGTTTACTCAGGAGATTCAGGGTTTTACCAACTTCTTGGATCTAATTCTTGCAGTAAGAACTTCAACAATTTGTTATCTTCGTGCTAAGAACACAGTCCTTGATCTTGTGTAAACTATCTTGCCATCGGTCCCCACTTAATGAATTTACACGTTTTTGTTGACATATTTCATGCACGGAGTGTTTGACTTATATAAAAACGCAAGAATGGAGCAAAATAATAGACACTGATACACGTGTTTGTTTTCAGGGGATGATTGTGGATGTTTCTGAGTGTGCTGCCGAACGTAGACGACTTCAGTTTTTCCTGGAGTACGGTAAGGGGAATAATACCTTGAATTGTGAGGATGTTGAATTCCCAACTCTTTCAAAAGGATTGTACTCCCCTGATCGATCCATCACAAAGAACAAAGAAAATGAAGTTTGTGATGTTGCCTTCAGCTGTGCTCCGAAGGACAAACTTTTTGTCACATTCATGGCGAGGATCCTCCGAGAGGTCAGCCCGGGGCTTGTCATCAAAGAGACGGCAGACACCGAGAATGAACGCCTGGCTCTAATGGAATCCGCTCGGAAGGTTGTGGTCTTCCTCTCTGCCAATTACTTAGAGTCAGTGGAGCAGGTGGAGGAGTTACACACAGTCCTCCTGAGGCAGAGGTACCGGAGTCCAACACAAGTTCTCTTTCCAGTAACCATCCACCATCTGCCGCAGTTGCCAACATATTTCCATTTGGTGCCCTGCGATTTTAATCTCACCGATCCACTTTGGTTGGAACTGTTTACCAAGCACAAAATTGCTCTACCACCTAACCTTGAAGACGACTGGCAGATGTCTCAAAAGAACTCAGAGTTACAGGTTGAGAACCATGTGTTCATTGGGTTGATTGCAGCAGCTCACAGTCTACTGCTTCAATTATCAACCGAAAGGTAGGAGTTTTACTGTTGCCTCATATTAAAATTCATTAAGTACCAAGCAAGCATTAAAATTAGTTGAACCTCCTTTCTACATTACATTTTGCTTATTAATTTTGTTTGAAATACTCTCGAAAAATTAAAAAGAAACTGACCAATAAAGTGATGTTAATGGTGTGCTTCACGCGAATGTACGTGTGCAGTGTATATGTTTTTTGACAGTTTTCCCAATTTAACAATAACTGTTTTCCACTAGTTGAAGTCAGAGTGACAAATAAAAAGCGATGAGTGTTTTAAAAAAGGTATTTATTGGCTTTTTTCCAAGAGGAAAATACAAATTGTAAGTAAAAACCCAACATTTTTGCTAAACTCTCACTCAGTGTACTACCTTCTTTCCTCAACATACAGTGAACATCCTCCATCTCCCAAGACAAACCATCAACCAATGCTGTTGAACGTGTTGCTTCTCCGCGCCAAAGTCGAGAGACTTCTTAAGGAAGTGAACCATGGAGCCAAAGAAGATAAAGATGAGATGGTTAATCGAGCCGGGTACCAAGAAAATGTAAGATGCAGCAGGATGGGAAAACAATATTGTACAAATTATGTAAGACTATTTGTAGCACTTGAATCAATCAAACTTGTGCCCAATACTCTTACCTTTTCTCTATGCATATTCATTGCAGTATTTATTGGACGTTGTTGACCCACCTCAAGAGTCCTTCTCGACCACACTTGAAAGCCAACGGGACGAGGGACTTGGTTCTGGAACTTCTTGTCACAAACATGTCAACCTGTCAAGTCAAGATTCTCAAGGGTTTACAAACCCCAATGTAAACACAAACAGTTCATTGTCACACACTCACTACCCAGTGAAGGAAAGAGAAGTTGCTATCGACATAAGACGATCAGAAGATGATACACCACAGGATGAAAGTCATATTCAGCATCGGAAGGAAGGGTCAAGTGTCAAAAGTACCGGGTGGGGTTCAACTTCAGACGAAGAGAAACACACGGCAAATAGAATATCAAGTCGATCGTGCATGCTAGTTTAGTAAATTGGACCACTATTCAAATTGGAATATTATTTTTTTAATTACTTGCCTAATGACTGCCTTTGCAAAGCCGAGAAGTCAATTAAATAATGGATTTGTGTTAATAATGTAGTGTCTGTTGTTCTATCGGATTCGGACCAGTCAGCGTGCCCTTGTTAGTTTGGTAATCGATTGGTAAGACGCTGCACAAGTAAGCAAGTGATGATGATAGATATAGATTTGAGTCCCACCTGTGTAAGTTTTGTATAACTAATTATTCCCGGAAGCCCGCCTTGGATCTGGACAACACTGAGTACGCAGTTTATTAAAGTATGTCGGTGAAGGACAAGAGCCACTGAACAGAGCTTAACATAATATTCTGGGGTTTTTTTCATCCTGTTTTTAATTCCACAATGTGAAAATGTATGTATTACAATATAATATGGTTCTATAATAAACATGCTCTATTAAATATCAACGTGTAATAATTATTCATGATCAGTAACAGGGAGTTCAATTAAGAGTCTGTGTTTCAATTGTTTACAAAGCATAAATATGAAAAATAAAATGACAACTCCGTTTGTGTCCTGTTTCTTTTGCACAACCTCGGTAGGTTTCGTTATAGTCTAATCAGCCTTTTTATATTCAAGAACACCACCGGCCGGATAGAATCCTTTGTCATGATAGAGAAAAATGTGTTCTGGAACTGGATTTATCTTACACAAAATGGTTTTACGTCTGTATAAAAATGTGTAATGTTTAAGAAAGCAAAGCAGTGTTTAAAATTATAGGCCGGCATCAGAAAAGCCCTGCAGTCATCCGTAGTTTCTTGTGGTTGAAATTGTATGGAGCCCCAAATAGGCCTTTGCAGTTTTGTCTGGAGGGGGTGGGGGGGGGGGGGGTGGAAAGCAAGATTTGGGGTCATTAATAAAAAAAAATGTCGGGTACCTTATTTTGTAGCAAATAGATTTAATTAAGTCAATTATTATATGTAGGAAAAAATCCGGATGTCTGGGCATTTTAGGTTGTTGCATAACCTACATTGCAGCTCAAACGACCCATTCCCTTGTAAAAAAAAAAATCCTCGATTTGAAATCCTCGATTTGAAATCCATATGCTGTATAATTACGAGGGAAATCCGCACCCTCTGAATCACTGTAGCTATGAGGTCACTGGGAATTCCCCGGTCTATAAATGGCATTCTGGGAAAACCCAGTATGCCGAAATGTACACCCTGTACTGAATGTGATATATATTGCGTATGTACGTACAGTACGTATTCGACACCAAATCTATGCCGCTGTCGTAGCTGAAAAAAGTCGTCTAAAAACCTGCAAAATCTGCTGTTTTTGTAAACCAAGAAGACAACCCACGGTCAGCAAGAATGGAGGAGCAGAAATTTATTGTGAAGGATAGCATGCCTTTGTTTATAAACGAAAGCGTGAACACCATCGAGTTGTGCCTGGGTGACATCAGTGAACTGGATATGCGCAACAAGGTTGAAATGCTGCTGATATCCGCTCTACCGGGTAGGTAAAAAACAAATCATTGTGCAGGTGCTTATTAATGTTTAGGTATAGTCCAATAAAAATTGTACTCGTATAGGCTTGTGTATAGTGCTGGGCCTGGGTTGGCCCACGGGCTCGGGGTTCGCTCGATCATGAATTTTTGAAAGGCCCATTCCTGTCTAGGAAGTGAACATGTCCAGTCCGCGTGCAGTATTCCTGTATTGTGTGTCATACATGATTAGGGGGATCATGGGTACTATGGACCAATTGACATGTTTTTGAACACACCCTTTTTTTGTTGGATTTGGAGTGGGAGCATCCATCATGGAGGTATATAGTCGTCAAACTGTATGTCCTCAGCTGAATATAGGCCTATATATGTACAATATTTTGGAGTGAGTGAAAGCACAGACGTATTTGATTTTGAGTGAAGAACACATTAAGAAGATACAAATTAGTATTTGGGAAGGCAATATTGAAGAGTGGACCAACCGAAACAATCTTACATTTAAATTAATTGGAAGATATCAGACAAAATTGCAATATTGTGGAAATATGTCAAGCATGGATTAACCTGGTAGCCCCATCGGCAGTGTCAGATAATTTACCTGCTTTCGTTTACACTGATCACTTCAATTATTTGTTTCAGGACCATCAAAACATTCTTCATTGTATAACCCGCGGTAAAGGGGGAGTGGTTGATTCATTCATGGACTTTCAACAGTGTGCAAAGGGCCAATTAGCAATTTTGTTCTTCACAAATTAATGTTTGACCTGTTAATAATATTTTTGCCAACAGGTGGCTATGACACACCTGCGGGCACTGTCATGCACTCCCTGCTTGCGAACCTCAATGTCAGCGTGGCAGACCTGGCCAAGAACAAGGAGGTCGACAAGAGGGACACCCACAAGTGCTGGTGGTCCAAGCCAATCCAGCAGCCTGACGTGCCCTTTGACAGACTCATGTGCTATGAATCTGGGTGAGCTATTTAGATTTCTAGTCCTATGGGCTGACCTGTTTTACTCTGAGCCTAGCTAAACAATCATTTCTTTAAAAGTCATTCCACCAATTATTTAACACCCCCCCCCCCTTTGCTCAGCCTCCTACCCCGTAGCTCAGACAATTCGATGGATGGCCGTTTATACCCTGCAAAAACTGCAGTGTTAAAATTTACACTGTTGGTATCTTTATGGGACCATCTGGTGTTAAATTTTACCGGTGTTGTCCTATATAGATATCGAATGGTGTTAAATTAACACTACAGTTTTTGCAGTGTACCCTTTGCATCGCAGTCATCTTTGAGATGCGTGCTTTTGATGCAGGCAGGGATAAACATGAGTAGCATATGCACCTCTTGTTTTTGCCGTTATTTTGTTCTTGGTAAAGATGACCAAAAAGCACCTCCAAGATGAGTCATGAATGCACCGACACTTTATTGAGTGAGGTCCCCATTCATAGTAGATATCGCAGTAAAGTATTTGGATAATACCAGGTACTACCTATAAGGTCAATGGCTTTCATGCTGATACTCAACGATTAGTTACATCAAATCGTTTAAGCCTGAAACATAATCTACAATGTTTTTGATTTTTTTTTCTGAATGCTCAGTGGGGGCCAAGCAGCTGCGGCGGAATTTACCAACACTACGTTCAGCTGTCTGAAGGAGATCTACCAGAAGAAAGATTTCAAGCTTGTGACTTCTCTACTCAACACAGGACAGCAGGTAGTAGCAATTTCGTTTTATACAAGTGGAACTTGCTTATAATAACAATATGCTTGCTTATAATAACAATATGATATTATGGTTGGATCATTACCACTTTCCACTATAGTTTTCTGTTTTTTTCCTGCCTATACTAGTCTATAATTAAACTATATGGCTGCTCAACTTTCTGCCTGCTCGCCTGTCTGCTTGCCAGCTTATATTCAGGTAAAGCCTTTCTACCGAAAGAGTGCACCTACCCCTACAAACGTTTCCTTTAACCTATATCCGCCTGCTTGTCTCCTGATAGGAGGACTAAGGGAGATGCTATGAGAAAAATATTGCTTATTTATTTGCTCAGCTCGGAAATAAAATACAAACATTGTGAAACAATCCTTAATTAGTGACCAGCGTTTCCTAAGCTAAAACTTCCATGCAGCAAATCTATGTGTGAAACAGCTCTATGAATTGGTACAGGGTATTAGCCGCCCAACTTGTTCATGGTAATTTGTTTCTTGTCAGAAAATGGACGAAGTTGTCATGCTGGAGGCCATTGTGGAGGCGGCAATTCTTGCCATGAAGGACGGCCTGAACCTCCGCCAGCTCATGATCTTCATCAACGCCGATTATAAGGGCGAGGCCAACTTCACGTCCAAAGTGCGCGACTTCGAAGGGATCTGCACCAAGTTTGAGCAGCTGAAGCTGCAGCATACCGCCATCTAAAGTATGCTGAAAGAGATTTATTGTGTCGTAATTTGAAAAACCCCAGTAGAAAATCTCATCTGGATGACGTCAGGTAGAAAAGCCTGTATCGCGTATCATATCAGCCACTTATTTTCTGAATCACAAGCATTTTAATACCTGTTTATTATAGACTTAATAACCAAACGGTAGAAACATAATATACACGACTGATCAATGAATCAAATCAGGTCAGCATTTGTATACATACACACCATGTGTTTTTACATCTAAATTCAAGTTAGGTGTGTTTTTATATACATTTTGAAGAAACTTCATAATGAGGGGTTGATTTATAATGGATAATTATTCCGTGCTAAATTACCCAGAGGTTTGACATTCTTTTGCCCGACTCAACTTAAGATGAAACTTTTAAAAGAATACAGTGACTCCTTCATATCCAGAGACAAACCATCAACCTTGGAAAAAATACCGTAATGTTTAAACTTAACTATTCTTGTTTGCAGTGCATGTGTATATCTTTCAATGATGCCCCATATAGGTTCTGCTGATTATACTCTTCTTGGTTTGTTTTTGTCTTGTCCTTTTTGTATTGGTCCTTTGTCTCTGCATGTGCAACTTAAAGTTTACTTTATGTGAAGCTGAGGAACTAGTTTAATAAGTATTAATCATGATACATATATTTCTTTCTACTTGCTTTTTTAAAGAAGCCCCCCCCCCGCTTAATCTCATCTGTTTATTTAAATCTTTGTCTTAAACTTTCCTGTTCACATTGATGAACTAAAAATAAATATGAATTTTAATGCAATAAATATTATTATACACGCTGTTGATTGTGTTGCTGCTCCGTGCTGAGGTTAATTAGACCAGTCAAAAAATGAATGATGAAACCAGGGAAGATCAAAATAAGAAGGTAGCACCTCATGGGAAAATGTAAGACGAACCGTGGGAAGACATCTGAGGAAATAACCTCAAAACTATACAATGTTGGATGCAGTGGATCGTAATGCTCTATTCAGTTTTTAATCTTTGTCTTTTCAATCATCGTCGCCCATTATTTTTTGAAGTATGTATCAGACATCGTTATTTGAGCCACATCAAGACTGCTTCAACATAATTATGAAAGCAAACCAGACGAGGGATGTGGTTCTGGAACATCTTTTAAATAAATCTTGTGTTTTATTTTATAATTTGAAAATGTATGTATTTTACATTGTTTAAAAAATATCGGTTCTTTAAGTGAAATGTTCAGTTACCATAATGTAAGATTTTTGGTGATGCTTAATATAGAGTTCAGTTAATAGTCCTTGCTTCAATTGTTTTCAGAAATATAAATAATTAGTGATAAAGATTAACATTTCAACTCCGCGCTGTGTCTTGTTTTTTCCTTCATTAACATCGGCTCATCGGCCTTTTTATTCAAGTGACGGTGTTGCCTTCATGATCATGAACACCTCTGGAATAGAATTCTGCTTCATATCGGGTAACATATTTTCTCGAAGTCAATCTCGTGCGAATTCTCTCGCTTTATCTTACGAAAGATGGTTTATTGTACGTCTGTAAAAAAAATGTTTGTATTTTGTTATTTGAAAAAGAAAGTGGTGTTTACGGTATAGGCCTGCAGCAGATCAATGTCTGTAGTTCTTGCTGTTGGAGTGGTCGATGTGAGTTGAGGTCCACATACATGTAGGCCTATGCAATTTGGTCTTTAAAGAAACAAGACTTTGGGTCGATATACGATAACAATAACGACCTAGTCCCTCGCACGCCTAGATAATGAAATGAAAACTCACTCCCTATATAATTACGAGGGAACCCGCATGCAAGTTCGGGCACGAACTAGAGAGCAAGTTCGGGAATCATAACTATTATAATAGTTTATGGAAATTTGGACTAGCTTCGCTCGAGCGAAGGATGGTCTACTCGAGTCGACTATTTGGAACGGGAGCATGTGGGGCACAGTTCGGTGTTTACCAATGGCCGCGCTCAACAATCCAGGACTTTTGATGATAGCTGTGTTCACACGTTGCTGTAAGTGCGCAGGCGTTAAGTAACATCAAACCAAACTAGTGTTCACACAATGCTGTTAGTGCGCAGGCGTTAAGTAACATCAAAACCAAACTACCGGTCGACTGATGGACCTCGACCACGAACCTGCTCAAATACTGAGCTGCTAGTTTACTGGCAGTCACCGAACTTTTTCGGAAATTCCAAGTGCGCCCTGGACTGGATGTGATATGCATTGCGTATGTAGCCTATATACTCGACACAAAAATCCCTTCTGCTGTCGTAGGTGGAGGATTTGTCTTAAAGCTTGCCTAAGCGGCTTCTTTATTCCTCAATGGGATCGCTTTTCAGCAAGAGGGAAGAGCCGGTGGCGGAGCAGGAATTTCTTGTGAAGAACAGCATACATGTGTTTATTAACAAAAACGTGAAAACCATAGAGTTGTGCTTAGGTGACATAAGTAAAATAGGTATGCGCAACAAGGTGAATGTTCTGCTGCTGTCTGCTTATCACGGTAGGTCAAAAAAACAAAACACTGTTCACAGTTGCTAACTAATATTAGAGTAGGCCAATTAATAAAAGTTGAAATGAGTGCTTGGGTTGGCGCAGGGGTGTTTATTTGGTCATCCTCACCCAATCATAAGTTTATAACAGTATAAATTAGTTCTCTAGAAAGGCAAAAGGCTGGAAGGGAAAATAATGGGTAACGGGCCAAAATGACAAAATACTCTACTTTTAAATGCTCTTTTCAATTAATATCATTTCGTTTAAAGCACGTTTTGTAACCCAATTGGGCGCTTTTCAGGACGGAGTGTTCCTTGAGGACAACAGTAGTAGTGTACAGTAAATAATAAAGAGAATACCGTTCGAGTACTGACTGAAATAATTGGAATTCTGGTAGGAAGAAGCCTATATAGATATCGCAAACATTGTATAAGTAGGCCTAGACAGTTCGAATGTCAAGCACGCGTATAAACCAGCCTATGGACGCAGTGTTTACGTTTGCAGAGAGAAGCGCTTACTACAGTGTCAGATAATGTACCTGCTTCGAATTCTACATTTGAGGACCTTTTTTTCGGGATCATTGGAACATTCCTCACTGGACCCTTGGCAGGGAAAAACTTGGCGGGGCGGGGATGATTAATTTTGGGAAGTTTAACAATTATGTGTATTATAGTAATGAACAGTTATTTCTTTTAAGCTCTTGACAAAATAATGTCTGATCTGTGATTTTTTTTTTTCTCAACAGATGGCTATGACACAGCTGTGGGCACTGTCATACACTCCCTGCGCAAGAACCTCAAAGTGAGCGTGGCAGGCCTGGCCAAGAACAAGGAAGTCGACAAGAGGGACACCCACAAGTGCTGGTGGTCTAAGCCAATCCAGCGGCCTGACGTGCCCTTTGACAGACTCATGTGCTATGAATCTGGGTGAGATATCTGTGGTTAGCCTACGTGTACTTTTGTCAGTCTTTTCATATTGTTATGTCCATTTGAACAAAATGTATTATATGTCTTTATGGTTTTAATGTGAAGTTTTTAATGCGAATGTTCAGAACGAGGAGACAAATTTCATGTTTTGCATTATGAGAATACAACAAAATTGAATCGAATATTTGGATTTCTGGTCATCCTTGGATGACCTGATTTACTCAGAGCCTATAGCTAAACCTTTGTTTTATTTTTTATTGATAATCAAAATTAATTTGTTGGGCGCAGGTATATCACACGTCATTCAACCCCACCCGCGCCTTATCTGCCTCCCCTCCCCGTAGCTCACGCAACTCGACATGAATATGCTGCGTATACAGGATAGACCCTTCCCATTGCAGACATCTTTGGGATGCGAGCCAGTTTGATGCACAGAGATAAGCATAAGCATAGTCCGTCTTTTGCATTCATTGTCATTTAGTTCAGATTACAAAAAAAATGGCTGCCGAATGCAAAATTAATATACTTCTCGGTTCCCATTCACCGTAGATTTCCCAGTAAATAATTCCAAATATTGGGATCCTGACAGGTCAATAATCCCAAGTAATGTCTGAATATCAGTAGCTTCTGGCTGATCATCAACGAACAGCCAGATCAATTATTTCGCTTGAAATCTGACCACAATTTTGTTTTAAACAGTGTTGATATCCTTTATTCCTGAACGTACAGTGCCAGTGGCGGTGAAGCAGCTGCCCCAGAATTTACCAGCACTACATTCAGTTGTCTAAAGGAGATCTACCAGCAACAAGAAATCACGCTCGCGTCTTCCCTACTCAACACAGGACAGCAGGTAAGCAAAATCAGTCTTGTAAAGATGACGGAAAGTACATGTAGACTGACTCAGTGTAAATGCTCTTAACCACATCAGTCTGTTTCTTCATACATCTGCCTATTTGCATCCTGATGGAGCCTAGGAGCCACTGATCTGCCACATTGATCAGCCCAGAAAAAATCGAACCAGTCACGAACTTAAATATCGACATTGTGAAAGTGTTCTTTAAATTGGAGACCAGTATTTGCTTAGCTAAAAACACTTTGCATAATTATGAAGTATCTGTGTGAAACAGCGCTATGAATTTTGACAGGGTATCACTTGGTAAATTTTTATTTGTCAGAAGACGGACGAAGTTGTCATGCTGGAGGCCATTGTGGAGGCAGCAATTCAAGCCATGAAGAACGGCCTGAACCTCCGCCAGCTCATGATCTTCATCAACGCCGAGTACAAGGGTGAGGCGGACTTCACTCCCAAAGTGCGTGATTTCGAGGGGATCTGCGCCAAGTTCGAGGAGCTGAAGAGGAAGCATATCATCTAAAGTCGGATGAAAGATATTTCGTAGGTACACAAGATGTCGTCTGGACATAGCAATTCCTGCAATAAGATCAATTGAAAGCCGGCATACGCACGTATCTCATCAACTTGTTATTTTCTGAACCACAAGCATTTTAATACAGATCAAATCAGCTCATCATTCATATGTTTGTAAATAAACTTTGTGTCATAGACCATGTAACCGCCATCACATGAATTTTGATATCTAAACTCAATTTATAAATCGAAAAGACGGAGGAAGACGGAGGAGGCAGACATATTATGTTTTTAATATAAGCTTTGTCGTCTAGGTGTACTAGACTTCATATAATCCAAACGCGCTTGGAAAAAAATCACAAGCTGACTCTAGTGGGACTCGAACCCACGACCTCTCGCTTACTATAGTGCAGACGTCTAACACTCGACCATCGATCAAAAAATTTATAAATTCAATTACGTGTATATTATATGTGTTGAAGAAACTTAATAATGAGGGACTGAATAGTAATGGATAAGTATTTCGTGCTAAATCACTCGGAGGTTTGAGAGTCTTTTGCCCGACTGAAATTTAGATGAAACTTTCAAAAGAATACAGGGATTCCTCTATTTCCCAAGATGAACCATCACCAGAAGTTGTTGGATGTGTTGCTGCTCCGTGCTAAGGCCAATGGACTTCTCAAGAAAGTGAAAGATTAAAACCAAAGCAGTTCAAAATGAGGTCAACGTAGCACCTCATAGGAAGTTATGCAAGACAAACCAGCGTTGATAGAATTACGAGGACATTAACTCAATAGTCTGCTATAAACAATACAATTTTTCTTTTTTATTAATTTTGTAACTTTTTAAAGGCTAATCTGCCTTTTGATTCAAATCAAGTTTTGTTCCTGCCAACAGAATTATGAATACCTGAATTATAAATAGAATCCTGCGCCAAAGGGGAAAAACATATTTTCGCGAATTCTATCTAATGCTATTTCTCTTGCCTTATATACGTCTGTAAAAAAAGATATATGTTTATTGATATTCAAGATATTAAAGTTGTGTTTACAATTTATGTGCCGTCATTATTCAAAGTTCTTGCTGTCGGAGTGGTCGATGTGTGTAGAGGATCAATACAAAGGCCTATGCAGTTTGGTCTATATAGCGAAACAAGATTTTGGGTCGAGTGCTTATGGCGACTTGACACTTCTTCCATTTGAATCTGACGTCTTGCAATCAGCATTTTTAGGTTGTGGAATAATCTACACGGCAGCAATAACGGCCTATTATATGTAGTTGTATGCCAAGATATAAAATGAGAACTGATACAAGATGCTATAATAAGAAATTACGAGAGAAATCCGCAAGTTCGAGCACGAACTAGTTAACCATTAAGTTGAACTATAGTTAACTAAATTTGCCTTACTTTGCTCGAAACGAAGGACGGTTGGGCTGCTCTTTGGAACGGGAGCATTGAGCATGGTACCCACCAGTGATTACCAATAGCCTTGCGCACAACCTCGTCCCCAGTACTTACTTTATTTCCGACCTCGTTTCCAATAGTAAGCCCTGGATTGAAAACTTTCTTCCTGTATCCTGATTTGATACCGCAATTTGCTTAAATGGATATATATAAATCGTGTTGTTGTTGTTATTTCCAACGTGCATCACGTGATTTCACGATCATTGTAATTATAACGTCCACGCCTTCTTAATAATACTCCTTTTCTTTCCAGTTTGCTTATTTTAATATGAAACGTGATACTGCATATTGGCAGGCCAGACTGTAACATTTTAACTTAAAAAAATCATGTTTTCATAACTCACGGCGCTACGAATTGATGCTGTTTTTACCCCAGACACCGCATATAAAAACAAACGCTAATGTAACGCACTTGCAGGCACCAGACTATTCCCCATTTATATGCGTGTTCAAAAATTTTGCACATGCAAATGATCCAGTATCGGGGTGAGACAGCAGGTAGTGGTGGGCGCATACTGCTCGACACCCTGGTGACGAGGTTGCCTCACGCATGAACAACTTGGAGCCAGGACTAAGCACGTAATTGCTATATAGTGCGCAGGCGTTAAGTACGTCACAATCAGAGAGCTATATTATAAAAGTCGACTTCTGGACCTTGCCCGCTTACTTGCACATACTGAGCTTTGTGTTCATTGGTAGTGTCTGAACAATATTTGTCATTCTGGAAAAAAAACTGAATGTGCCCTGGGCGGAAGGTGATATGCATTGCGTATGTTCGTGTTGGACACAACATCCATTCTGCTGTCGTAGGTGAAGGATATGTGCCTTAAATTTTACCATGGGATCACCAAACAGCAAGATGGAGGGGCAGATGGCGTTTGTTGTGAAGGACAGCATTCCTTTGTTTATCAATAATAGCGTGAGAACCATCGAGTTGTGCCTGGGTAACATGAGTGAACTAGATATGCCTAACAAGGTGGACATCATGCTAATATCTGCTATACCGGGTAGGTAAAAAACAAAACTCTGTACACAGTTGCTAGTTAATATTAGAGTAGGCCAATTAAGGTTAATACGCATGTTAGCTGGAATGGAAGTGGAAATCAGTGCTGCATGCGCGCACGGGTCTTTTTTTTTGCAGGGGGGGGGGGGGGCATTCTCAATCGATAATGACAGAGACAGAGTGGGCGTGTAGGTCTTGAGGCAGCAAGTGGGAGGGGGCAAATCATGGGTTATGCCCTCACTGAAAAAATGCCTGGGTTAATTTTACCAAAGAAAGGGTGAAAACTGGAACTACCCAAACTTGGGTTGTTCTATAACCAATTGTTTGGGTTAGAATTTATGTTAAATTCAACCAAAAGTGTTGTAGTCATACAAGACCAAATTAAATTTGGTCTTGAATGACCCCAAGTTTGGGTTGAATTTAGCAGAAATTCTAACCAAAACAAATGGTTTTAGAACAACCCAAGTTTGGGTAGTTCCCGTTTTCACCCTTTGAACCCGGGCAATTTTTCAGTGCTAGACTGAATGACAAATTACAGAACGCGCCTTGCATGGATGGGGTTTTCATAGGATTGTAACAGTTCGTCATCTTCGGCTGAGTAGGCCTAAAAGTAAAATAATTTGGACTTATGAAAGCTTGGACGTCAATTTTGGAAGACATTTTATTACAGACGGTGTAGAAATATGTGCATAACAGCATGGATAAACCGGGATACGTTTGATTTGCACCGAAACATTTTCGTTCTTATTGGTCAGGGGCATCGATGCTTTCTTCACTATCAACCCAAGGCTAGCAAAGGAGAAAACGGGTCATGGGTTGTTTCATTTTGGGATTTTTAAAATAATCTGCATAATGTTAATGAACAATAATGTTTAATCTGTATAATTGTTCCCAACAGGTAGCTATAAAGCACACGCGGGCTCTGTCATACAAGCCCTGAGCAATAACCTCAATGTCAGCGTGGCAGACCTGGCCAACAACAAGGAAGTCGACAAGAGGGACACCCACAAGTGCTGGTGGTCCAAACCAATCCAGCGGCACGACGTGCCCTTTGACAGACTCATGTGCTATGAATCCGGGTGAGCCTGTATTCTGGTCATACTGGGCTGACCTACCTTAATTAGAGCATAGCTTAACCGTTATTTATTTATAGATATCTTTGAGGTGCTAAGTTCACTCTTGGTGCACAGGGATAAGCTTGAACGAGTAGACATCTTGTAATTTGTGCCTTATTTTGTACTGAGTAAAGATGATAAAAAAAACACAAGGCATCAAAAAGGCAATTGCATGCAAGGGTTCTGTAATTGTCGGCTCATATCACCGTGTACTTCCCATTAGTAAATAATTTCAAGTATTGGGATACAACCAGCTTAATAATCTCCAATATATATATTGACTGAATGTCAGTGGCTTCCGTGCTCATCCTAAACACACAGTCACCACCAAGTGTTTACTGACAACTACTGTTGATACTTTTTTTCCTGTGAACATACAGTGGGGGTGAGACAGCTGCCGCAGAATTCACAAACACTACTTTCAGTTGTCTGAAGGAGCTCTACCAAAAGCAAACTTTCACGCTTGCCAGTTCTCTACTCAACACAGGACAGCAGGTATTAGTAATGCCTTTTTATATAATAATAGAGTTGAATAGCAACATGACCACGTGCGATATGATGACATAACAGTATATCACAACTTATATTTCCCTCCTTCCTATGTCTGCCGAACCTGTCTGTCTAGTCTGTGGCTGCTCAACGTTTTGCCTGCTGGCCTGCCAGCTTGTATTCAGTCGTAGTAGCATAGTCTTTATAAGCCAACACTGCATCTATACCTCTACAATCTTTGCGAACCCTTTACTGATTTTTTTTTTTCATATCTGCCTGCTTGCATCCTGATCGGAGGAGCTATAGCTAATCGAATTAATGTACTCAGTTAAGAATAACATATATAGACCTTTATCATGCTGCAACAATTGAAGTCATGTTCCATGTATCCAATTACAGTATTGAATTATATTTGTTTGTGCGAAAAGGAACCAGACTATTTTTCCTTCCAGCCTTGCTTTGGTTACGTTGCTTTCAATGGAAAAAATCAAGATGGCCGCAACATGATATAGGCCTACATCATACAAATTAGTCACCAGTTTTTCCTAAACTTAAACCATGCCTTCCGTTTAGCAAGTTTATATGTAAAACACATTCATTATTTAAAACAGCTCCATTAAATCTGGCAACGATATCGGCCGCTCACAATTTCATGGTAATTTGTTTCTTGTCAGAAAATTGACGAGGTTTTGATGCTGGAGGCCATTGTGGAGGCGGCAATTCTTGCCATGAAGGACGGCCTGAACCTCCGCCAGCTCATGATCTTCATCCACGCCGAGAACAGGGGAGGGGCAAACTTCACTCCCAAAGTGAGCAACTTCAAGGGAATCTGCGACAAGTTTGGGGAGCTGAAGCGGAAAAATACCAATCATTAGTCGAATATTTGAGTTTCCTTGGGTCACAATGTGAACATTCCTTTCCAAAATGTCGTCTGGACTTAGTCTTACAATCAAGTCAGGCAGAAGCCGATATCACGTATTTCATCTAATGATTGTCTGATAAGCATTTTAATACACTTTGTTTATATAGATTCAGTAACTAAATCGTAGAAATGTGTGTACGTGACTGGTCATATCAGCTCACCACGCTTTTCTTTATACATGGACCATGTATTTTTATATCTAAATTCAATTTATATGTTTATAAAGACGTTTTCAAGAAACTTCATGATGAGGGGTTGAACGATGATGAGTATAATTATTCCGTGCTTAATCAATCATATGCTTGACAGTCAGTTGCCCGACTCAAATTGAGATGAAACATTAAAAAGAGTACTTCCTGAATCTATTATGAATAACTATGACAAAATTACATTTCTAACTTCAAGTTCAAACTGGCCCTGAGCCCCGATTCCTTCTCCCCGCACTTCGTTAAGAAAATACTTCATTAAATTAAAACTTCCCTGTTAAAAAATATGTAAAGAGGATAAAAAAGGCATATAGGCCTATATTGATAATGTAGGGCCTATTTGGATTTCGGCATCTATGAGGTCTTAATTATCATGATACAATCATCGGAGATGGTTGCATAGTTGCATAATGCTGTGCATGCACAGCACTGCACGTCATTTTGTAATTACCTATAAGTATATACTGTAAAATAATTATTGTGCAAGCTTGAGTGATCTACATGTAAAGTGGCCCAAATCGTTTTTATTTATAGTATGGTCTTTCCTAATTTTACCCAATGATGAAATAAATATCTTTGATAATGGTCAAAGTGATTTATCCAGAAGCAATAAGGTAAATGTTTGTTTGCGTTTGACCCTGCAGCAGCAAATAGGCTGGGGATCGGTAGATCCAAGTTGGTGTCGAGCAAGGTCAGAACATGATTTGTCCTACGGTGGATTTCTTTGATGCCCACTTAGGAATATTCCTGAAACTTCCACTGGTGTGCAGGGCCCTAGGGCTGCAATGGCATATGCACTGTCGCCTTGAAACCCGGAGGCTTCACCCACGGCAACGTACTCCACTCGGAGTCCGTTACGTCAAAAGTAGGTCACATGGTTATAAGTCCACAACCAATGGAATCTCTGTGTCGTTTTCATCGATTCGCAATAGAGTTTGACAGGAGCATGTATTTTTCTTGGAATAGATCATGCATATTTTGACTGTGTGGTAAAATAATAATCAACTTTTATAATATGGAATAGGCCTATGGAATAATGAACTTCCTGATTCGAATCAGGAACTTGTCATGCAGGAAATCGCATTTTGACTTTCAAAGAAATTATTGTGTTTTATCGTTAAAACCAGCAGTCGTTCGTGTTGAAAATCCATCTAATCAGCTGAAAGAAAGTCTGCGTTATTGGCGGCGTGATTTTATAGACTATATTGAAATGCATAGGAACGATTACAAAAACCAAATCAGCATTTATCAATCGAAATATTTATTTACCATTTTATGAAACTTGTTGAACAAAAGTGGATATAATTAACTTAATTTGTAAATCATGCTACGGTCCTACCTCGTGTATAAATGCATGGTTTTCCTTTCAGTTGAATAATATTATGTAGTCAACTTTAAAAATATTTTAAACTAGATCCCCGGGTTCAAACACTTCCTTTATCGTGAGCCTGATTTTGGGTGGCATGGGTGGCTTGTCCGTAAAGCGTTCGTCTCTCACCAAGGTGCACGTCGACCACGGTTCGAATCCTGGCCGCGCTCACATGTGTAGTTGTGGGTTGATGGTCATAATCGATGTGCCCGCAGCATGATAGTCGCATTCACGTGACAGCGGCCTGACGACGCCGTAGCCGCCTCCTTCGCAATTCAGCAAACCACCTGCGAGTAAGGATGATTGGCCTCCCAAATTATTAATAATATTATTATTATGTCTGATAGTATCGAAATCTACCTCTCTCCTGCTTTTTGGTGAGTGTACACGATCAAGATTTCTTATGGGCAGATCATGCAGAGGGATACACGTACCCTCCCGAGTCGAAAACAGCTTGTTATAAAAATGGACAAAGACGCATTGGATAGAGCAACAGTTCTTTCATAAAGCCTTTAAAGAGATCAAGGTCTCTTGCAGCTTTTCAGCTCCTGACCTTGGAAATACTGCTTACTCATAGTAGGTCAAAGGCAACGATTTGATACAGTGTACTGTTTGGTTTAGGGTATAGAACGCCTGTTAACACAGTCCTACGAGGAACAATTGAACGGATCAGTACGAGATCTACATGTGTGCCATCGATCACGCGTTGTCAATCCCATGACATAGAGCCAGTGATATAGTTGATCCATTCTATAATACACTGCAACGAAACGCCGTTATTGTTATTCACCATGGGCCAGACGGTCTCGGGATACATCGAGCCTTGGATCCGACCCTGGGCCGAGTATTACCTATCTTGGAAATGTAAGTATAGCGGCTGCATGCTATAAGTTGAAGAAGCTAAACTGAGTTAATAGTACATAGGCATTTCAGCATAGGCCTAGTTCTTTTTTTCAAACCAATTCAAGCGTATAGGCCTACGTTATAGCGTACACAACAGAGACTCGAGGCCAAAATTCACGGAATCATAATCGGAATAAATCGAACGTACAGTTCAACATGTTCGCACCACGTATACAAACTACGTTGCAGCCTGCAATTGCAGGGCACCGAGTGTTTGTTTATTCTTCCATGGTAGGACTAGGAGTGCAATGAGTCTTTTTGATCAACAATACCAATCTATTTTTGTCTATCGTCTTTTCTATATAAATACTGGGCATTGGGGGTGGCATGGGGAGGGGGGGGGATATAGGGGAGCGACGGGGTCGGGGGTGTTCCGCAAGATGCCTTATCGACCTCTAAATAATTAAGCAATACTATTTTGACCATGGAGGAATGTTCTTATTCCTCCATGTTTTGACTAACCTGGTTTAGTTGTTTTGTATAAGAATGGATGAGTACGCGCGGAATTTATATATTCAGCGTGCCTGATGGGCGCCCCCTCTATGCTAAGTATAATTCGTCTCGTTTTGCAGTTGAGCGCTACATTGCCAAGTTGAAGCCGGAGGATCTGAAAACATGGGAGGTGTACGACTACGAGGGGGTTGCTCTCAATCTGGATGTTCTCCCAAGCACCATGGATGACTTGAAGACATTGGAGATCCGTCACGATGATGTCTTCATCGTCACGTATGCCAAAGCAGGTAATGTGACCGAGTAGAAGGATTCAAGATGCTCCGAATTGTTATCTTCCAGGGGCACAAATTGGTTGATATATAGAGACATTCCTTAAAGGATGACCGTAAAACAACATGTACTTCCAGGTTTGGGAATACTTAAAAAAAAATCATACCCGTGAGTACTTTTCAGTGAGTATGAGTACAAGGCAATTTTTTTCCATGAGTACGAGTACGAGTATATATGAACGAGTATCCAAATAATGTACTCGAGTACGAGTACGACTACAAGTACGAGTACTTTTCACAAGTAGGAGCAAATTGCAATGGGCCACGTGTTCTGAAGGGCTATTATTGTCAAACTATAGGTGTTAAACAAAATGCAGAAGCTTACATAATTATTCATGTCAGTAGAAAATTCTGGTGTTTTTTTGTTTCCTGAATTTACCTCTTACATTTTGTTTTAATTTTTGCGGTAAAACATTTTCACGAAAACAATGAGTATTGCACCACTAATACCCGCCATGGTGACAACGCCAAGAGGAAAAAGCAACCAGGGAAACGTAAAGGAGAGTGACCAACCCACTCTTAATTATTAAGTTGAGGTTAAAATGAACACCTCCAGAGGATGCATGCAGCCTTTCCCATTAAATGGTTAAATATTTATCTTTGCTCATAATATGTTTTTATCTACAGGAACAACATGGACGCAGGAGATAATGTCTTGTATACTCCACGATGGAGACTTGGAGACGGTCAACAAGACGCACACAATGAGAAGAGTTCCTTTCTTAGAAATGAACTTCGGAGGCACAGTGCACAGTGATGTAATTATGTGTACCTCCTGATTTTATTTAAGAAATTCTGCTGAAGCAAACATAGGAACCTATTGTATACACACCTCGAAGCCGAACAGCTGTACACTCTGAGCTGCAGATGCTAATTTGGTGAGGTATCCACTGTCATAAAAGTTTCAAAGCTAGGTTAGATCAAAAATTGACGCTGTACATTAATGGTAATTTAAATTGACCATATACTGATAAAGGAAATAGAATAACAGTTTAACCAATGTACCATCTTCGGTCACACGCCACATTTAATTCGTAAGAAGTGCCAAGAAATGAAGTTTTAGTAAAAGGGCTTAAATGTAGAAAACACATTTTCGGGAGTTTATTTTAGGAACTTTATGTCAAAACGTGTGAGGGACTGCTTACCAGACCATCAACGTTTGGTCGTGACCAATAGCCTGTGGTCAAACCATCCCTATTTCTGTACTAAGGAAGAGAAGGCAAGTCGCATTTTTTCAACCTCAATTTGACATACCTCTCTGATGATAACATCCGCCTATGCATTTTCTTGGCCAGTATACTCGAACTCACAAGATGATCGGTTGGATGCCGAGGAGTTCTCCCCGCCTCATCAAGTCCCACCTGCCGGGTCAACTCCTGCCTCCTCAGGTCTGGGAGAAGAAGGTCAAGATCGTCTACGTCATCAGGAACCCCAAGGATGTGGCTGCATCATACTTTCATCACAGTCGGATGATGAGTCCCCTTAACGACATTCAGTGGGACGATTTCTTTGAGAAATTCCACAGCGGGAATAGTAAGTAGCAATCACAAATGCAGAAGCTGAAGTAAACTGTCAGCTTAGTCAATAAAAACATTCATTTAATGTTCACATTTTTTACCATTTTTATCGTTTTGAGTGTCATTTTAAAACTGTTTTAGAAGCAAATAAGGTTTTATATGCAATTAGTGTACGCCTATTTTTTTAATGTTTTTTTTTTACATGTAGGCCTATAATGTTTTTTAATGAGCACGAGAACCACAGAAATTTGAAACCTTTATATAAATAGCAATAAAACAACTTATTAACCTAACAAAGCAATACAATTTATGACTCAGAGGTACCGGCACTACCTTTTTTTTGTCTTTTCATTATTACCTGCACGATCGTGCATTCTTGACATTTTTGGCGTAGTTGGCTTTGGAAAGTGGTGGGAGCATTTTCTTTACTTCTGGGAAAGGAGAAACGAAGAACACATTTGCCTCCTTCGCTTTGAAGACATGAAAAAGGTACCTCACTTTTACTTCACTTCAATAAATACTTGTTTTCTTAATTTACTTGCCAAATCACCATACCTCTCATTTATTGTTCGATGTTGTTAGACGTAATTATTTTTTTTGAGAGAAAAAAAACCAACCAATCCCATACATACAAAATATGAATTGCAGTGGCAAGAGAATTCAGGCTATATGATACACCGCGATACCAATAGAGGTTTTGACCTGTTTAAAGGTACATTGTTAATCTGTAAATTGGAAAAAGAATCTATTATAACCACAAATCAAATAAACCACAAAAGGAAACTGACTAGTGTATTATAATAATGTTTTATAATACAGTTGTATTAGTTGTATTTATTTCAATAAAGTTGAACCAAAATTGACTTGAGCGGGGTTCAAACCTGCGACATCCGGATTAAAGGTTCAAACACTTTGCAGTCAACTTCTTTGTTCAATTTATTAAAAAAAAATGTAAGAAAAGCGCCTTTGAAAAGAATCTCTCTATCAATTACCAACCTCAAATTTGGGTTTGTTCACTACAGGATCTGCGTGGTACTGTTAAAAAGGTCAGCGAGTTTCTGGGCAAATCGTTCCCTGATGACGTCATCGACGCCATCACCGACCATTGCACCTTTGCCAACATGAAGAAGAACCCCATGACCAACCCTGATGTCGTGATAGAGAATATTATGGGGAAACAAGAAGGGACATCCTTCATGCGGAAAGGTAACATGGATACATTGGCACATTATCATGTCCCCACCCATCACACTGTCCCATAAAAATAGATGTTAAACAGGCTTTCCATCAACACATATTTGATTTGGTGCTTTCAGCTGCACTTTCGTCACGAAGAGTTTAATCTTGAGAGTGGAAAGTTGTAGGCCTACAGCACACTGTGCACTAAATTCATAACATGTAGGGCGAGAACTAGGAACTTTGCTTAAGAAAAGAAGTCAGAACACTGCCCATCCCATCCGTTCTGGTATTACTGTTCTTTAAAAAAGCCCCAAGTATATTATTCTCTTTACACACACTCTAAAAAGTCCCGGTCACTTTTGACTCGGATTTCTGGTTCTGTTTGGCCTGACACTTTTCCAAGGGCGGATCGGGGGGGGGGGGGCAACGGGGGACATCCCCCCAAAAAAGAAAAGATAAACGAAACCATTGTTTTTTTTAAGCGACGTCGCATTAAAAGCAGGCACTGCGTACACCACCATCTTTTGCTCAACAAAATTTGGTTATTAAAAAGTGGTCGGAATTGCCTCAGATCGCAACACAGAGCATCTAGAATCAAGCCAATTCTCGGGGCCTGATTTTTTGGACCAATTTATTTTTTCGAAATGACCCTTTTCTTGGTCAAATCGACCCTGAAAATGAGTCAGATGAGTGTCATTTTGACCCTGAAAAGTGTCCGTTTGACCCGGACAAATCTCAGGCCAAATAGAATCCGGATTTCGGGTTCAATCTTACCTGGGACTTTTTATAATGTACGCCTTGATACATTTCCGCTTATAGACCCTTGTATTATAATATATTCTTTATTATGTCTGATAGAGTATCACACACTTTGCACTGACCCTAGTACAAGGCCTGATCCAATACTTTATAAAGAAAAAGTTATTACACTGTTAATACATACATTTGTGTTTTAATTACGATATCATACTTTCCTTTTGCAGGTGTCGTTGGTGATTCAAAGACCCACCTGTCTGAATCCCAGGCGGCAGCAATAGACGCTGTGTGTAAAGAGAAGCTGGCACCAGCCAGTCTTACTTTCGACTGATGTGCGAAGTCATCAATAAAACACAGATGAGACACTTAGACCCAATAAGAGCTTTTGAGAATTTTTAATAAACAATTCAAACTGTGAGGTTTAATTACAGAAAGTAGATTGAAACACTAAGCGATTAAATGGTACTTAAATGAAGAAAAAAAGTAAATTAATAAGACTAAACGTAGATATTGACAAGGAGAAGGAGAAACGTCTTGTGTATAAATACTTCACTTGGTTATTGCATAATTATAAAAATTTACATTGCCTCATTTGCATAAATACCTATAACTCATTTTGAGCAGGGATATAGGTGTTGGACACATATTCCGAACCTAAGTCTTTATCTCGGAACTACGATTACATACATCTACAGTATTTTTGTTACTTTTGGTATAAAATTATAAGTTTCAAGAAAGTATTTTATTAAGGCCGAACACACTACTTATTTGATTTATTGTATCACTAGGTTCGGTCTGTGGAAAGAATGTTGCAGCCTGACGCTACTTCAGCGGTTGTGTACCAAGTCTATGGAGTATCTAGAAATTTTTTAAGTATTTCCTAACAAAATTGAAAATGTTTCTCGGTTTCAGATTCATGTCATCAATTTTGCAATGACTGACCTTCATTGAGATGATTATAATGAAGAAAAATGCAGCGTCAGGTTGCAACATTCTTTCCCCAGTCTGTTTGTATAACTCAATAAATGATCAGCGTTGGTCAGTAGAGTATTCGACTCAGCTGAAATTCTTTGTTTTGTTTTAAATGGGTTTAGATTTTGGATGTATGCCATGCACATTTTCCTCTTTAAATGTGGAATTTACGTCCGGTGATCCGTCGTGCTTTAAATAACCTTTAATGCCACTTCTCAACAGAGGTCGCTCTTCAGTTCTGACGCGCATATGGTTCTGTAAGTGAAGATATGTCCCATAACAAAAAATCGTATACAAATTTTTGGTCTAGAGTCAAGACTTGAATGGCAAAATATCGCCCTCAACGATCACTGGCCTTTGCTCCTCTGTATTGCGTATAAAAAGATACTTTTGATTATCATCATTGTCATTTGATTGACATATCGAACCCGTCCTCTGTGAGGGCGCTCTGTGCATGCATTGGGGCGGGGTTTTGTGGTTTTGGAGCAATAAGGTTAAGCAGGGAGAAGATAGCCCCAATTTTCCCCGCCATCAATATTTGGAATATTAAGGCAAAAGATGTTTGCTGTTCCAGTCAATTAAAAAGTGTCGAATTGTTAAACAGTCGACATGATGTAGTAGACTTTAAGGCCTGTGACGCTTAATCTTGACAGTATTATTGTTTACATAAAAGGGGCGGGACATGTAGATTGCACAGGGTAACGTGACGGGGTGGGGTGGCAGTGGGGCCAGGGTCCCATGCACTTTAAAATATATGCCCTGTGGCCCCACCCATGCTCCCAATTTGGAGTAGAAATTTTTTTTATTTTCAATATTAGAAACTATCACCAACCCAATGCAACGTGCTCATGTTGAACACCCGATTTGCAAAAATGAACTGTGTCACTGATCTCATCAGCTTTTATACTTATTATTGATTGATAATTTCATTTAATCAGCACATGCTACTTGTCTATGTCATAAAGCAGCGACGGAGAGTGACAATCTTCTCTGTCCACTTCGTGAACACAATTAGGCCTTGAGAATTAAGCTGAAGTGAGAATAAAATAAAAATGCGCCAACAAATTCTTGTTTGATTGTAACAGTAGGCTGCTGTTGTATTCAACAAAGAGATATTGAAAAAAGCCAAAATATACATCGTTTATTACAATGCTCTACCACCCATCTTTACCCAGTCAATAATAATGATCCAGACTAAAATTCAAGTAAACAACATTTTTTTTCAAAATTAATTTACGAAGACTTCAATGAACTTGATGTAATAAACATAGAAGCTTAGCCAGTCATTCAGACATTGTTCACCAATTATACTAAAAAATCAAATGCAAAAAGTATCAAATGAAAAACAAAAAATACTCAATGTCAGTTATTTTGTTTTGAACTTCATTAAACTTGATGTGAAAATCATGGAAGTTCAGCCAGTCATTTAAACATTGTTCACCAAATATACTTAAAAATCGAATGCAAAAAGTATTAAATGTAAAACAAAAAATACTCAATGTAAGCTATTTTGTTTTGAACTTCATAAAACGTTGTGTAAAAGCCAAGGAAATTTAGCTACTGTTCTACATTGTGGTCAAAATCAATTTCAAGAAAATATTAAGTGTGATTTTTAAGAGACATTAATGCATTTGGCTCAGACACCGTGCAGCACCTTAACATGCGAGCTACCTTCTGCTCATGAATTCCTTAATATAATTAGATATGTTCAGACAAAATGATCACATTTACCTCAAATTAATTTAATGGAAATACATGCCTGCTGTCCCTGTCTGTGGACAGCTCACAGTGACAAGAAACACATAAATCCCAACAGCACACAAATTTTGGGTTAATTGTAAGACTAAATATGGCTTTGTTCAGTCGTTAAAATTCTAGTATTGTTGTTAATGATTTCGTATAGCTGAAAAACAACATGTGTGATGCAACATTTAAGTAACATTAAAAAAATACATCTCTCTCAGGCCGACACAGTCAACCGTTGTCTTTACAAACAATGAAAACAATTCGCACGAATTTTGGAAAAAATGCTATAAGATACAATAATCTGCCATGACAGTTTGTTTTTGCATCAAAACAACTATCAAGTTAATTTAGATGAATATATTGATAAAAGTTACCTTTCTATGGTTCAGTCGAAGGCAAAATATTTGTATTTTACTGCACAATGCATATCAATGGAAAACGATATATTGAACTCTTATTCTTTTCATTAGCTATAGACAACTGATAACACTACAATCGTGGCATCTTGATTTCATTGTAAAGGCTAAAATATAGACTAGAGAATAGTGAACTTAATTGGTAAACATTAATATTTCATGTATTAAATTAAGTACTGTACTCTCATGAAGGATTCTATTGTTTTGTACTGAAGGCTCAAGGTATAGCTTTAAATATGACTGTACAAAATGCGTGCTGTTATTTTACAAAGGAACCTTGGTTCCTAAAGCTGAAGTTGTCTTGCATCAGTTTTTATCTACAACTGATATACAGTTTATTCAATGGTATTCAAGAACAAAATGCTCACTAGTTAATTGTCAGAATGATTAGCCATGTTCTTTTGTCTCTTAAAATTCCGTTATTTTGAACAATAATCAAAAACTGAGACAGGTGAGAATGTATAGAAACCTTTCTGGTTTCATCCTTTGTAGATGTTTCACAACTTTCAGAACTTAAATCTCGAATCAGGTGTAAATTAATATAGTTATGTGTAGATTAAACAGGGAGAGTTCAATCTCAAATCACCAAAAGAACTATTCAGTATTGTTTTGCAAGAAACCTTAAATGAATTCAATTACAATAATTGCGCTCAGCTAGACTCATATGTATTGAGAAAATACCTCGGCTTTTGCGTCAGTTTGTGACTTCCATGCATATATCACAAACAGTGACTGGAACACTAATCAGAAGACAGGATTTTTTTTATAAGTGATTCTTGAAATTGTTTACAATGTTTCAACATTGCTTTTCATTCCAAAATCTAAATGTTCATTTTTATACTTTGTACTCTTTGAATCAACCAATAATGACCAGGATAAATATGGCTATGTACAATTAACATACATTTTTACATTTTCTTAATTTCTGTCTTAAGACTATTGACATTCAAACTCGGCTAAAAAAAATCTCAAATAAAAAAAAGGAACAATCTTGAATATTCTTTCAGGTGGGAAGTGGACACATTTCCTTAAACTTCTCCAAGTTATTGTTCAGGCTGCGTTTTTGTTTTGTTTTGTGTCTTTACTTTTCTTTACTGAGAATACAGTGTTTATACGTCGGTGAAAGGCACAACCTAATATTGATACTTTTGCTTTGTTTTGTGTTTTGTTGTTTTTCCCTTTGCTATTTTGGTTTCTATATTTAATGGTCCCAGAGGGCCAGCCTAGTGTGCTCTTTGTACCTATCTCACTGACTGACGGACTGATTGACTGACTGACTGACTGACCGTCACTTGTGACTAAGACTGGTTGTGGTCTGGTGAAGAGGGCTGGGCAGTGCTATCGTGTAGGATGACTCAGTAATGCCAAAGTACGGGCTAACCCGGCTCATAGTGTAGACCAGATGCAAATAAGACTTCCACTGAATGACAAGTCTGTATCAGTTGAGCACATTGTTGAGTGGTTTCCTGACTTATACGGGGTGAGTCGCAAATGGAAATCCAACTGTCAGGACATATTTTTTTAAAGAAGTTCTGCATGCATGTAGCACTTTCAAAATCTAGGATATGAAAATTAATAAGCTTTCTTTTGGAACAAGAATAATTCGAATCACTCATGTAATTTCAATGTACGGAATTTTGAACACAAACACCGTTTTAAAGTTCTGTCAACAAAAAAAAGGGTATTCAGCGAAACGAAAACAATTCACATACATTGTATGTAAATTGTTTTCGTTTTGCTGAGGTAACACTTACTTTTTTGTGATCCATGGACAGAACTATAAAATGGTGTTTGTTTTTAAATTTCCGTAACTTGAAAAGTACATTAGCGATTTGAATTATTCTTATGAATTGGGCTTTCATATCCTTGATTTTGAAAGTGCTAGATGCAGAACTTCTTTTAAAATATGTCCTGACATTTGGGTTTTTGACTCACCCTTTACAGCTGGTTGGGTATAAGCTTACTAGACTTGCCAAGTCTTGTTAAAATTGTGCTGTGAACGGTTCTTTTTCAATTTTTTTTAGTCAAATGTATTGTATTTCTCGACAAATTTTAAATTTTCTCTTTTCATGTATGAGTCTTGAGTGGGTTTAGTTTATTGTTTTAGGCCCTCATATTACTGAATCAGTGTAATGTGACAATATGAAATGATCAGGATGGGAACAAAATTAGAAATTGCGTGTCAGTTAGAACGTAAAGAATGCTGTACAACACCCACATGATGCCGCATCTCTTCTTTGCTTCTCATAGGAATGAGGCTGGAATCACCAGGTGATTAAACTCAAGGTGCTGACTACTGGACCCAAATGGCAAATTCCACACGGGAGTAATCTCATCGAGACCATGACCAGAATTATGTAAGTTGTCAAAGTTTTCTAGATTCACTAATAATGCGTGAAAGCTCAGACAAGTTTGGAAGATACTGCCTAACGATGATCATTCATTGGGACCTGTGTAACCAACATTAAAGGTGCTCAGGTCAGGGAGAGACTGGAGATAAGCACAAAGAGCCTCCAACCCATCCAGACTGAATGCATTGCCCTCGACATCAAGTTTACCTAAACTATCGTGCCCGGCGGAGATGATTCTGATCAGGTCTGGGATGTCATCATCATCCAATCCACATCTTTCCAATGTCAACCACAACAGGGATGGAGAAATAAGAGAAGCCAGACATTGAACATTGTTATGCAGATTGGTATCGTGCAAACATACCCTCCTCAACCTACTACATCTCTGCAGGGCATTCGTTAGTTTATTGACATCATTACACGATCGGTCGTACACGTCGACCATCTGCACGCGGTTAGATACATAGGGCAGGTGTCCCAACACACACTCGTCGTCAAAACATGAACTCTTATCAATGGTCAGCTCTAGTATCAATCTATCACGGATCCTCTTATCCGTCCCTTGAAGTGTTTCCTCCAGG